CTTTAGTTTTTTACTGACATTTACTGTCACTTATCCTTAGATGTTTACAGTTTGAGCATTCTGGTTTTTGAATTAAATATTATATTTAAAAAAAAATGTGCTGTATATGTAACAGGTAGTAAAACATAATAGCATGTCTGTCATGTTAGAATTCCAATTTAACTCCAGTTTCCTCTTTAAGCACACATGTAGTCTAAATATTCCTGCAAGAAAATAAAAATATATGATCTCATTGACTAAATACAATATAAGTAATTCTGTTGGATGGAGCCACAATAACACTACCCCCAAATTTGAAATTGCACAAATTTTCCAGTTTTTCCCACGCTTGCCATCATAGAGTTCAGTGCATAAATAAATTCCATAAAATGTCAGAGCAGTGGAATTGCAAGGGTTAATGGTCATTTTAAACTCATTCTGGGTATGATGTAGATCTGTGGTAAAATCGTTTTTTTAAGCACCTTGACCTCCTTGACAAACTGAAGTATTTCAGTGTTATATGCAATTTTCTGCTACATGTGTTTTTATGATACCAGGATATTTTCTTTATCATTTCATTACATTCAGTAAATTGCAAATTCAGAATGGAACAAGGCACAGAATTCTTCCCCACTAAATTCATTTCAAGGGAAATAAATGGCCCCAATGAAAAGATAAAAGATCCTGAAAAGCGCACAAATTAAAAATTAATCTGACGTATGCCAGGACAGATCACAGTGTTCGTTCAAAGCAGTCACCTGGGCCTTGACCTTGTAAACCACGTCCCAGAGAGCACAGTTCACAGTCACTCCTGAGACTGCTGCCACAGCACAGGAAGAAACAGGACACGTAAATAAGAAATAGCAGCAGATGCCAATCATGATGAAACACAAGAACACAAATACAAACAGAATTTCTAATGGCTCACTCTGTCCCCAAAAATCTCTGCACTTGGTATATGCTCATAGATTATGTACATAGTGTTGACATTCTTAAAGATACACAAATATTGTATATAGGAACTATAAACAGAAATATACAGCAGTTTCCATCTTCCGAACTACAGATTTCTATCATATAATCTGATTTAAAAATATATCCAGTTTAAATGTGGTAAAATAAAACAAAACAGTACCACAGCAGCTCATCTCAGAAGGAAAGAACAAATTATTTCTGAGATGAGATGGTGTGAAAAGCATAATGATGTTGGTTATAGGGTGTCATTGTACTAAAAACGAGATTCTTAAGATTTGCTGCCAAGTTCAGTAAACTCTGTATCAAAGAAAGAAGAAACACACCTTTCGTAGATGCAAACTAGCTTTGTTGCTTGAAAGCGCAGCATCATTGATGCCTTCAAATGACGATGGTAAAATAAATTTGTGTTTTGTTTTGTAAGGTATTTGAATGAATTAACACCAGACAAGCTGAAGTGTCTCAGGAAATGCCAGGCTGCACTAAAGCTGCTGAACACAGCACAAAATGTGTGATATAAATAGTCAGACATATTCATGCGCTAGCCAGGAACTCATTCAACCAAAATGTCATCACTGAACGAAATGCATACAATGCACCCAGATGTGCTGACAAGTTTCAAGTTGCTTTTTTACAAGTTCAATAGCGCTGAAGGGAAATGAAGCAAAGAAAAATTAGTCTTTGCTTCACAAAAGCAAGTGTCTCAGAGTGGCTTTCTTTAAGTCCTTTTCTAGGCTGACATTCAAAGAGGGTTAAACTTTTAAATCACACAATTGGGAATTGGTTAATCTGTTATTTTTTAGCTTGAGCTGTTTTTTTCTTTGTCCTGTAATTGGATAGTTTTACTGCTGTTCGGTTTTCTGCAATTCTTGAATTGGTGTGACTTCTCTTCAGAAAGAGCATGAGGTGAAGTAAATTGCTACTTTTAAAAGTAAAAAAATGTAAAAACATCAGAAATGCAAATTTTCTTGCAATTTTTGGTGCTTTTACTAAGACCCACCAAGTTTGAAGTTGTAAAGTTTAATTTCTCAATGACTGACTTCACATAATTTAGTTCAGTGAGATTTTTTTTTCTCTCGTAACAATAGCCCATTCATGCATAAGAAAGGTTAATGGCATACCAGAGCTTTGCCTACGCAAATATTTTCTCTTTTAGTAGTATTCATGAGCCATAAAATGTATACTTTTTAATATACTTTATGCCACATTTTACAATTCAAAAATACTAGGCTGCTTCAAATCATATTTAAGACGTGGCATGGCAATTCAAAGCCAGGGAAAGAATAAACAGGTCAGAGAAATATCTTGACATTTTTATAATGGCAGGCAAGCCTATCCAATAAATCCTGGTTGAAATGCCTCACAGCCACAATTGGAAATCTGTGACATTAAAAACAGCATGGAAGGTTAGACAAAAATTCAGTGGAATTAACCATTTCGGGAATCCATAACCTCTCAGTGAAAGGAGGATTGCACAGCTGAAAGTGTGTTTCTGTGCATGTCGAGGAACCTGCGGTGAGCCCCAAGTCTTACGAGTGGGGTTGACCGGGGGCTCTTACTGTACCTTCTGCAGACCACAGGTTGCGCCTATGAATCCAAAGCTGGGCCATTTGAGACTGTTGGGAGATTAGGGGAGGTAGAATTACATCTTGAAAGACAAAGGTGCCATTGATAGAAGGGGAGGTTTTTTCATTGAAGTTCATAAAAGCTGCTAGAACTGTCACTGCTCGTTATCAATCAAGGCAGCAGTGTAAAACTGCGGTCTGGGAAAGCAGACCGGAGTCCAGCAGGTTTGATGTGGTTCTACATACCACAACCAGCCACAGATCTGAGAAAAAGCTTTATTCACAAATCGGAGAACTCAATTGGAACAAAACCAAGGAGAAGCTGTGGTCCTTTGTAAGAGCGGCATCTGTGTTAAAAGCTAGGCCTACTCTATGGTGCCCTATCGTATCTGTTTAAATTTTCAACTGCTTAGGTACCTGTAGTGAAAGGTTGTATTCGAGCGATTTCATTGTTTGAGATATGTTTTAATCCTTCCCCCAGGGATGTGTGTAACTTTGATCCTGCCAGGCCAGTGGGCTGTAGGTTTTCTGTATCTTTTTAAAGCACCAGGCCATGAGGAGCTGGGAGAAGCTAAGGTTGTGCAATTAAGCCAGTAAAAATGAAAGTTTCGTTAGTCAAGAACCTCTAGACATCCCAGCTATCCAGAAACAGGACTGGAAAACCTGCTGAATTACAAGCCCTGTGAACGTGAGTAGGAGGTGGAGTTTTAGCAAGGGAAATATGCAGAAAAAAACATCCCTTTTGAAAGGATTTTTGATGGTGAATGGAGCACTCCGATGTTATAATACCTTCCCAACCCTGATGCAAGTCTATATGAAGGCATGCCTAGCTCCCACTTCAGGAGATAGGAACAGTTGAAAAGTCTCACTCAGTCATACCTGCTTGGCCAGTCCACCCAAAACCGTCTTTAATTCTTACCTGCGGGCTGGCAAGGCTATGATGGAGGCTGTTAATCACAATACGTCTGGATATTTATTCTAACCTGACCTGTAGGTTTTTAAATCATTTTCAAAATTATTGCAACTGATCTCACCCTGAGATTTTGTGGCTCACTGTCGGGCCTGAACAGGCAACCCCTGTCTGTTTTGAATATCTTTTTATGAAGTTGCAGTTTTCCCTGTTTTGGGAGTGTCTCATCATTGCCCCCTGGTGGTTTTGCCCCATTTTTACCCTCCCAATTCAGTCGCCCTCTTACTCTCCCTAAGCATAATGGTTTCTTAAAATCTCGCACTGTTTCTGCTCTGCTCTACAATGGCCTCTGTTGTATCAATTCAACCACAACTGACCTTTGTGTTTGTGCGTGTAGCTTCATTAAGCTAATTAATTGGTATCATACAAAGGCTGTCTCACATACTCATCTTATTCCTATGCATATTATCTACAAGCTGTAAGTGTACTGAACCATTTCCTCATATGAGGATAGCCGGCACTTGATTTCACAGTGGGCTCACTTTGCATTGAATGAAAATTGAACTAAAAAGACTAAAAACACTTTCTCTGCACTGTAGAGTATGTAATTAATTTATTTTACTTTTAATGTTTTAATGACTTCCCCCTGTCAATTCTGGGGATTTGTAGAACAAAACAGAACTTGAAAACTTTATTAAAATAGTTAAGATAACATTTTAACTTGATAGCAGTACAGTATACAGCTTTGTATATCATGATATACTCACTAGCTGGACGAAGTATATACAGGTACAGTACCTCTGTGGCTGCATGGTTCAGTTAACCTGAGAATTGTTGTGGTTGAAGAAACAAAAATGCCTTGATCACATCAGGGGTTGAAGATGACAGGGTGTGAGTGTGGGTGTGTTTCAGAAAGCCTACAGCTGTTCTAACCTATATTGAAGAAGATAACAAGAAAAGGGATAGGAATCATTCACCATCTACATCTGCTACACATGGGATGTACACTGTACACACACACAGAAGGACAAGTTATAGGCACCACTTAATATAGCCACATGGTCACAGGAGAACATGCAAACCCCACACAGACAGTTTACAATCCAAAATCAATCTTGGGACCCCACACCTGTTTGGCTGTAGCACCAACCACCGTGGTTCATTTCCACCCAATGTTACATATTCATATTTACATGTAATATATGTTACATATTGTTTGAATATGTATATTCAAAAATAAAAACAAAAGTTATAATTGACAAGTCCAGCATGAAGGCCAAGCTTGAGATTTCTAAATTCTGAACATTTCTGCAAACACTTAATTTTGAAATGCAAGCTACAGGAAGATCTTAAACACTGAGAATCATCTAAAATATAGTAATTTATTTCATGATTAACAAGGTATTTGATTACATCTAATACATGGATATTAAAGACAAACTTATAAATGCATGTTTTGTGTAATCAAAATCTTATAAGCCCTTGATCATTGTTTATAAGATCAAAATGTTAGGGATACGTTATGATATTTTTGAAATAATTATAATCATCACTAATTCTAACCTGTCCAACAGATCTGCTTTGTGAATCTTGACAGAGACAGTAAGGATCAGTGTGATGACACGTGCATAAAGGTAAGATTGTCCACATGTCCAACAAGGCCATGTCCCAATGTGCACACTTGCAAATCAGTTCTGCAAGAGCTAAGGGTGTCCCGTTTCTAAATTTGTGCTTCACAAGGGTGCTCAGACTTCATTGAAGGGTGGGCAGACTTCACTGAAGGGAATTACCCCAATTTCCTTGCTGAATGGTGACATTTCAGGTTCTAACCTATTAAAGCAGAGGTGTATGTATTTAGTAGATCAAAGCTTTGAATAAACAGAGAGCGGTATTGCCAAAGTTTCCTTAGTTCAGCATGAATGAACACGATAAGTCATCAATGTCATTAATTAAATCATATTTTATATTCATGTATCTCACGACAGATACAACTGTTTTTACAACTTGCTTTCAGAAACTGGCCTCTGTCTCCCCTGCTCTCCCGAAACTGATCGACTCCCTAAATGTGAAGCAGCCAAGGGATAACGAAATCTTTCTCCTCAGTGGGCTGGATTCCTCCGGCACCTGTCCACAGGATTCTTCTAATCAGCAGGTGAGACACCGGTCATTAATTAAAGGCGGTAGTGTTCATTTTCCTTAAATCCCTGTTCTTTACCCAACAAATTATTTTCCAAACAAACTTGAATTGGTGGCGAAGTGCTTGGATGCTCTTGTAACCACTCTGAATCACGCTGTTGGACTGCAAAGGATTTCCATTTTCAGTTACTAGTGTGTTTGGGCTCCACCTGTCCGTCCGCTTGCAAACTCATAAGCCGCAGATTAAAATGAGATGCCCCCAGAAATAGCTTCCTGCTAATTAGATTTTATGTCTTTAGTTCAGGTAGCTGGAAAATGAGTCGTTATTGTGTTAAACGTAAAAAAAAAGACTTTTTTAAGTTTATGTGCCGTCTTCGTTTTGAATGTTTATAAACCTCCTTTAATGTTTATAATGGCAAATCCTTTACAGGTTAATTATATACAGTGATCATTGTTCTAATCTGCTTCTTTTTTCAGAGTCTCAGAGTGGCCGATGTATGCTTGGTCCAGTGTGCAAGGGGAAACAAAAGTAACCACCCCAGCTGTCTCATTTTTGAAATAAACAAGTTCCTGATTGGAATAGAGTCTGGTCAGGAGAAACAGTTACAATTGGAGCGATATGGACACCACAGACCCGAGGACGACACCAACAGGTCTGTCTCTTCAATAGAGGAGGACTTTCTTACTGCATCCGAACATCTGGAGGACAGTGAGGAAGACGCATTCAGGAATGGTAAAAGCCCATTGTTAATTATTATTTACCAGGATTTCTTTTCCTCCAGGATTTTTTTTACTGATCAAGAGAGAGAAATCTGAAGTGGTTACTGTTTCATTACTGTTAAGTTTACAAACTATATTGTCAGGATAGAGCACTAAAGGTACAGTATAAGGTGTAGGGCAAGGTCAACAGTGCTGATTGTTAAATTTCTTACAGTAAAGATTTCCTCCAAGAAATATTATATTTTTGGCTGTCCCTGACTAGTCTTTAGTTTGGCAACATTTTTTATTTTCCAACAAATTTTTATTTTTATTTATTAACAAATAAAGGTTTCCCTCACATTTATAATACTGTAACGCAACGGGGGCTCAGGCGGGCGCCCTTGCCGCATCTGGTCGGCCCCTGCACCGTCCAGGGCTCGAACCCGGGACTTCCGCGTCTCTCTGCAGCAACCTAGCCCCGTGAGCCAAAGAGAGATCTCTCCACAGCCCAGTAGCTGTGGTCCTGCTATCACAGGGAAGGGCGGTGACGTCACCTGCTCTGGTACGCCGGCTCTTACACACAGTGCTTGTCGGCCGTAAGCGTTACAATACAATGTGCTTTAATCTGAGAAGATGATCAATAGAGATGACTCACAAGGTTACACTCTCTTAAAGGCATTTGTAATGGCCTGGTAATTAGCTTTTAATGGATAAATACGCTTTTTAGGTGATGGAGGGTGATATTTCAATTCTATTTATATATGGAAAAAAAGTGCAAGGAAACAGATAAATGTTTAAGCAGGGGTAGGCAACCCTGATCCTGGAATTCTGCATTTGTTTTTGGATTCCATTGCATCTCCAACCTTAATGATTTAAGTGAATCAATTAAGTGGATCAATCAGCTGTGTTTTCCAGATCTGAATAGGCTACTAATCAAAAAATACTTCTAACACCTTCAGGAACGCAGTCTGTGAGGACCAGGGTTGCCTACCCCCTGGTTAAGACCAGCGGTATAATTTCTGATAATGAAGAACAAAAAAAGAGGCAACTTATTCTCCTGGATTGAGCACTTGTCTAATGTTTAAATGGGCCATTCTTTTCTACAGATTTTGAGAACAGTGATTTTGTGGACCTCTACACACATGAGAAGAATCCTGGAGGACTGAGGTCAGACAGGCATAGAAACGTAAAAGAGCTCTATAAGGAGCCCCAGTGGAGTGAAGAGTCTGGGGCAACACCACATGGCGCAGCTGATAAAGACGTGAAGCTCTGTCACAGTAGCTCTCTCCAGAACACAGCGGAGCTGCATGCAAGAAAAGCCTATCAAAGCAAACGCCAAGGCTTCTCTTCATCAAGCCAAGTCACAAGAAACAGACACAGTACTGTCCCTAGACAGAGTGCTACTGCACAACACAACTTGCCAAGTACACCAGAAACAGCAGGCTATTACGCCACGAATTTGGCAGAATCCGTCCTGCAGGATGCCTTTATTAAGCTGTCCCAGGAAGAACCCACTTTCACAGCAGAGGCAGCCCTAAGTGTCTCGGCTGGAAGTAATACAGTCCTGACCTCTAAAAGAGAAGATCCAAAACCAGCTCGATCGTGCTCATTTGAGCTGCCCAAGATTGTCATTGTGCAAAGCCCTGATAACTGTGAGAGTATGATAGAATGGCCAGGAACTCTGTCCTCAAGCCCGGACACCTGGGTTGAACATGATTTCCCCAAAGATGTTTCTCATCAACCACCGGAGGAACATGGACAGCATTGCAGCTTTGGGTCAAGCAGACGCACTCCAAAACCGGTTGAGGTAGCCTTAGCTTGTGCAGCCAGTGTAATCGGAACTATTTCAAGTCCCAAAGCTACTGAGAAACTTAAGATAGACCCAAGTATGGTGGTACCTGAAAGTCAAACAGCAGATGACTATGAGGAGGATGAAAATGAAGAATTTGCAGAGCCAAACCAGGAAGGGAAGAATTATTCCTTCTCTTCTGCCCTTTGTGGTATGACCCAGGTCGCCAGCGCAGTTGCAGTAGTGGACCTCACAGAGGAGGAACAAGATGAAAGTTATTCCCCCTCTAGGGGGCTTCTGTCTGTAGCAGAAGCTTCAACTGCTATAACACTGCATTGCAGTGTTGCCATAGGTACAAAAATTGAGCAGTTTAAAACAAACATTGCAGAAGTTTTACTTAAAGAAGCTTCCTCAGTTTTAACGAAACCTGAAAACCACAAAAGTGTTGCAGACTTTTTGGAATCCACACACAACAAAATAGTTGCTAGCATTACCAAGCCAAATACCTCTAATTTAGGAGAGACTGAGATGGATGATTTGGCTCACATCCTTTCAAATGCTATTTTTAAACACTCGTTGGAGAAAGCCATGAAGAAAAGAGAACTGGGAAGTCCAAGCAAAGACATTTCCAATTTGCAAGGCTTGGTTTTGGAGAACACCAATAATTTGATTTTGGATGTGTTAAGGATTACTTGCAAAAAAATCAGTGACATTTCACACCATGGTAAACCCTCGTCAGATGTACTGGAAGATAAATTCAGCTCCAGAGATTCTGAGACAATTGTAAAGGAAAGCAAAGGACCATTAAACCAATTACTCAGTTTTATTGGATCAACTCAGGCTGTTAACAATGAAAATCAAATGACCCTGCTTTGCTGCAAAGATAATCTGTCTCGCTACACAGGGATAAAGGAAGAAAATGTTGTCCAAGAACAGAAAGAAAGTGAACCCACCAATACCAGCTGTTCTACAATAACCAGAGATCAGCGAAGAGCCAGTCAAGCTAATGTTGCATCCTTAGTCAAAGATTTTAATAGCCCTCAGTGTCAACCAAGCAAAAATAATGTAAAAGATTCCAAGATATCAGAAACTGACAAAACAATGTCCATTTTCGAGTCAAAGCAGACTTTTCAAGAGATGTTTAGCCATAATGGTTCATTTACAGAAAAGCATAAAGGCAGTACGCTGACTGATGATGACAATACATCGAATTCCTTATTGTCTGAGCAGCTCTTATCACCTCCTGTGGTCACAGTGGAGGCTGCAACAGTGGGCAAATCTCCAGTCTCAGGTTTTGCAGATGATCTCGCTACCACTGTGGTTTCAATGGCTACCGAGATGGCTGCAATCTGCCTTGAAAATTCACACGGGAAACAGCCGTGGTTCTGCGCCTGGAAAGGGGGACCTGAGAACCCAGAGAACTACCTGATGCCCTGCCGAACGGTGAAAAGGAAGAAGGATGTGCAAAGCAACGTGGCTGTCACAAAGAAGCACAGGCCACCCAGGCTCAGCGAAATTAAAAAGAAAACGGAGGAGCAGCCAGAGCTCATGGAGCGCCTGATGAACAGGGTCGTGGATGAGTCCATGAATTTAGACGAGCCCCCCGATCCTTTCACTCTCTTTGCTACAGAGGTGACAGCGAAGATTATGAACTGCCCTGAACTGAATGTGGTAGACACCTCGAAGCCAGGTCACCCAAGGAACCGACTGCAGTGTGACAGATGGAGCAGAGGGAAGGCGTCAAGCTATGAAAGCATCCCAGAAGAGGATGGAGATTCCTCCAATCTGATCAACGCCTTGAGTCCCGGGACCCGGCTGGGTCAAAACATGAGCAGAGGAAGTTCCATATCCAAGCAGTCCAGCTGTGAAAGCATCACAGATGAATTTTCCAGATTCATGGTAAATCAGATGGAAAACGAGGGCAGGGGTTTTGACCTGCTACTCGACTATTACGCCGGAAAAAACGCCAATAGCATCCTGAGCTCGGCCATGCAACAGGTCACCAAAAAGAACGGTCACCTCAATGTGAGATCAACCTGTTTGTCAAAGCAGTCAAGCACGGAGAGCATCACGGAGGAATTCTACAGATTCATGCTCAAAGAAATGGACAAAGAAAATAAAGACTTTAACATATCAAAAACTAAAGAGTGGAGTAATAGCTTGCTGCCTCCATCTCCTCGGACACCTTTTTGCTTCAGGCAGTCATCAATGCCAGACAGGAGATCATCTGACTCCAGGCTGACTGTGAACTCCCCCATGAAAGCGAATTCTTTTGATGGCTTTGCAAGAAACATACATGGAGACACTCTCAACATCTATCCTGGTAACTCAGCATCCTCGATGGGCCTTTGTAAGTCTGATTCCTGTTTGTACCAAAGAGGCCAAACTGACCAGATTACAGACATGCTTATTCATGAGACATGGTCAAATTCCATTGAGTCTCTAATGCGAAAAAATAAAATCATCGTGGACGAAGAAGAGAGCATAGATCTGGAACAATCGAGTGATTCGCAGCCACATGTTGAGCAGTTTGCAAACCAGCTGGCAGCTGATATTGTGGAAAGTGGAAAGTCTCTATTAGGAGGACAGCAAGAGACTGTGAGCTCCAGACCACCCATCCCACTGGCTGAAAAGAGGAGGTGTTTCAAGTCCCATTTAAGGCAGCAAGTGTCAGACAAGGCCAGATCGACCCAGGAAAAACCAGCCGTAGGCAATGACTCTGGGAGTGTTGCCTCCCTTCCTCGTAGCCCAAGGGAAGTGCCTTTGATTCACATAGAGGCCGATCAGAGGGAAGAGTTCAAGGAAGACACACGACACCACGACCTCACTGCTGCTTCTTCCGTGACGCCTGAAAGAGAGTGTCACCCTCAGGAAAAGCCCACAGAAGTGCGATTTGACCCGGGCCCAGAGAAAATGTCTTTAAATTCTAGCAGGTATGTTTCATAGTCAGATCAGACACACCACTGATGTATCATCTGTGTGCCCTCTCGAGCGTCACAAGTGAAATTTGATGGAAAGGTGTAATTTGTGAAATTGCTGAATTGCAGTGTTGTTCTATTTTTCCTCTGAGATAGAGCTGGATTTTATATAAAAATAGAATTTGTCAGTGCAAAGTATACTGCAAACCTACAATAATGAATCTGGCTAATTTGAATGAATTTAATGTATCTCCTTTAGAGCTTTTAGACAATAATAAAAGTGAGATGGAATGTAAAACCAGCAAAGGTTTACAATGTAATTTAGTATCAAATGATGTAACAGCTCCTGTCAGTTGTGAATATATGACAACTGTTCCCTTAGGGATACATATCATATTACAATAGTTCAAATGTCCACATTTGTTATTTTGAATAAATAACTGCATTGGTTTAAAGTCATGAAATCATTCCAATTGAACGCTAACCTAAACCTCTTGCTTTATGTTAAACTACATTTTAGATCAATAATAAAAGCTTACAGATCTACCCAGGAAGTTTTTTTTATCTTCATTGTCAGATTTCATTTTGATCTGTCTTAACATTTCCTGTTCACGTTAAGTCTGAGCTAGAGAACGACTGCTTTCTCTCGGAGTCTGTGACTCCATCAGCTGTAGAAAGGGAGCAGACATGTGCAGTTGACTCACTGCAATGTACATTAAAATGGCAACAGAAGGAGGTCAGGCAGGGAAACCAAGACACAGACAGAAAAGCTCATGAAAGTCAAGAATGACATTCATCTCACAATCAGGTCCCTTTAGGGTGTTTATGCTGCAACCTAAGAGTAATCAATAAAAACTTAAATGGCATTGTTTCAAATTACTGAATTACTCAATGCTAATTGATTTGTTATAAACAGTGTTGTTTAGGAGCTGCAGCAACATTTGGAAGCCAGCTGTTCAGTGCCCTGTCAATCAGTGCAAATACTTTAGCTACCTATTTAGCTAAGAATTAACATGGGTTATTGCAATTTGCTTTTCACAGCCTTGAGTGTAACAAGACTATAATAACTTCAGTAGTTGAGAATGCATCAGCATCAGAAGAATGCACAAACAACATTAGCTCCAGCGATGAGAGTACAGGAAGCTGGTTGCAGATTGCCAATGAAGAAGACCTTCCCGAGGATACAAGTAGCTATATACAGCTAAGCGAAGGGTCAGTGAATGTCCCTTCCCCGTTATTTTAGCTAGCAGCTTCAATAATCTGAACATACCCACCCATCATGCACTCCAAAATAGTGCTGCTGTTCATCAGCCCATTGCGCAGAGCACCAACCTTGCTTGAATGGTTATTGTGTTTTTAAAACCAGAGACTATGCACTTTCAAGAACTTTTCTTCCTCTGAGAATCAGAAGGAGAACTGTAACATCTGCTAAACATACAGCTGGCTTATTATGCACCATTGTTATACAAATTCATCATGCTAATTAGTTCATCTCCTGTCAGCCTAGCATAAGAGATTGCAGAATTTAAATTGACAGCATAATGTTCTATTGCTGCCCATCACAGGCCTTGGAAACCCTTCTTGTTTGGGTAACAATTGCAGTTCATTCCATTTTGTGTGTGTTTTCTTCTCTTGAAAAAAAATCAAAGCTTTCCAGGGGGCTAGCCAAACTGCACTCTTTGCAATGACATGACATGAGAGATGGATGTCAGGGAGAAGCAAAATCAAAACTTGCATTTCTATCCCACCATTCATCAGAATGCAGACATTTGCGGAGAAATGTCATTGCTTTAAATGTGGAACTGAAAGATTACCTGTAAATAAAAGAACGTTTCATATGTCGTGCATTATATGTTGCGAAACTTGAACTTTGGTAAAATGTGTTTAAAATTCTGTATGTTTTAATGCTCTCCCCTTACAAAATTTTCTAGAAAAAATAATTCCCTCGGAAGAAAATGCTTTTGGGAGCCACATTCCGCTTTCACATTTACATCATGATTACTGCTGCTACTGTAATACTTCTTGAGTGTTGTTACTTAAGTAGTCTCCAAATGTCATGTCATTTGCCAAACCTCTTTATACCATACGGTGTTGGGGAAAGCTGGAGTCTATCCAGCAAGCAACAAGCACAAGGCAGGGTGCACTCTGGACAGGGCACCAGTCCATCGCAGGGCAATCATACATGGGGACAATTTGGAGCCACGGTAAAGGCTGAGGGGGGGAATTTGGTCTGGACACTGGGATAGCTCCCTACTCTTTCTGAGAAATGCCTGGGGAGTCTTTAATGACCACTGAGAGCCAGGACCTTGGTTTGACATCTCATCCGAAAGACAGCGCCCACTACAGTATAGTGTCCCTGCCCCTATAGGACCCACACAGACCGCAGGGTGGGTGCACCCCGCTGGTCCCCACTAACACCACTTCCAGCAACAACCATAGCTTCCCAGGAGGTCTCCCATGCAGGTACTGACCAGGCTCAACCCTGCTTAGCTTCAGTAGGTAGCCCGTTGAGAGCTGCAGGGTGATATAGCTGCTGGCTAGTCTCCAAATGCTACCCTATAAAAATGTAAATGGACAGCTTGGCTTATCATTTATGTAAGTAGTTTGTTTTAAATGAAAACTGAAACAACAATTGTTTCATAGAGTGAGAAAGATTAGGAAGGGCTACTTTAGTCCCCAAGAGGCAGATTCCTGCACATTTTGCAGACACTTTTCAATCATCAGTTAAAATAAGGTCGATTTGCTTAATTGCTGAATAATTAGTTCAATAATGCAATTAAGATCAGAGCTAGAATGAAAACCCTGAGGCCTGGATTTGCCCACTTCTTTTTCAGGGGTGAAGGATATGCCTTACGATTTTTTTATAACTTTTAATTTAACAGTGAAGGGATTTATGTATATGTAGAACATATACGCAATCAAATAATTTACTGCTTTCATCTTTCATTTTACAATTCTCTTATACTTTTACATAATTTATATCTTATAATATAAGAAGCATGTTGCTGTAGTTCAGAAGATGCCAGTCCTTGTCCTGGAGGCCCACAAACCTGCTGGTTTTCATGCCTGCTGCGTTTAAATTACCCAATTAAGGCTTTAATTGAACGAACGGGTTTCTTGATCGGATTATTTGCAGGTTTATTTTTACTATACCTTTAGAGATTTTATTTTACTTTTTGAAATGCAATAGTTAATGGGCACCATACAACATGTTTACAAGCTGAAAACAGTCAAACAGCTCAAATTAGTCAATTAAGGGTTCAGTTGCAGAGCAGCTGGAAGAAGACTCAGCAGGAGAGTGAGCTGTAGTAATGTATGCCTGGAACTTGTGCATGACTTGTGCTTTTACTTTGTTTTAAACTCAGAAATGGGAACAGCAGCACATCCAGCCTGGGTTTTGTGGATCTAGAATCTTTACAGGAAAGTTGCTCGCCATGTAAATCATTAAGGTAATTTTACACATGACAATTATCAGGGTTGTATAGGGTGTTTAGCATTAACATTTTTTAAAATACAGATTTCCTGATGTCAAGTATTTCACTTCTATTACAACATTATTATTTTTCTTTAAAAGTGAAGAATCTGAGGAAAAAGAAAGGCTAAAAGAAAACCTCGAAAATGTGGATGGTAAGTAATGCTTTCGTTTACAAAAAAGTAAAAAAGAGAAAAAAATTCAGTACCATAGGTTTGCTCCTCAATGTTATAACTGTTGTGAGACCATAGCAGCAAAAAAACCTAATGAATAACACATAATGACAGTTTAACAACATTATATGTTTCAATAATTGTAACTATTTTTATTTTCCTTTGGACTGTACAACGTCTTTTTCAGAGACTTGTTTTCTTTGACAGGAACTCCTTTCAGAATAATGTTACTAAACCACTACAGTATATGCCCTTTTGTTTACCTGGAATTCTCACAATAAAGTGAATAGACAACACATCTGAATTAACACTTTCTGCTGTAGTTTTTGTTTCCTATAAATGAGTGGTCCAAAGCAGTTAAAAAAAACTTCCCTGGTGCAGAGAATTGCTACCTTGAGGAGGAACTCTCTGCCAGACAGTTAGCATCCTTTTCACATAGAATCTGTCAAGAGTTGTCTTAATCTTTAAATTAGTATTGACATTATCCAGCTTAGGCAGGGCTTTTTTTAAAGACTTCTCCTGCAGGCAGACATACAGTAGTTTTAGCTTTTATTTAGCGCACACATAACTGTCATTTCCTAGTGAGTGTAATAAGTTCATAAGTAAATTATTAATACCCAAAGCATGATTGTTTTTTAAAATAAATACAATATATTGTGGATGTGATTTTTTTTTTAGTTTTTAAATGAATTACTCATACATCTCTTTGAAGCAAGTCCTGGGTGCAGTATTATTTTTAAAAAGTGAATCATACATTTGCATTGTTAAGGCGAAGATCCAGGAACAGCCGTTTTCAGAAGGGATGAAGTTAAGAATAGAAGTGTATGCAGCAGACAGCTGAATACTTCCTATCTTGCAGAATGTACCTCCGGGCTGTCAATAGGAGCAGGCAGCAGCCACGAGCTTCTAGTGATGAACTTTGACCTGGACCCTGAGTGTGTCGACTCAGAGTTAAGAGCTACTTTACAGTGGATAGCTGCTTCAGAGCTTGGAGTACCAACTATCTACTTCAGGAAGTCCCAGGAAAAGAGTATAGAAAAGGTAGGTCTGAGAAAGCAGGTTTTTCATATTTCTTCATAGTTATCAATTACTTATGTAGCCTTGAAAGCTAGTTTGTTATGCACTGTATGTAACTGACAGGTCTGCACCCAACAGTTGTGGCCAGAAACACTGAATGTATTTATTAAACTTTTTTTACAAATTATTATTATTAAGTTATGTTACGAATCTTCATGTTAATACATTATTATACTTAAATCCTGGAAGTAAACATCCATTTAGACTCCCCACTGTAGAGACCTTACACAGATTATATAAAAAGTGAGCAGTAATAAAAAATGAGTGATGGGTAAGAATTTGTGATATTTATTTGATATGTTTTATTTATTTAATCAAGGTTGAGTAAACTCATTAGTAGTAATGTCCATTATGTTTTAAAGTAGTCATTGAAACCATTCATCTTCATCTTAATTTGAATGTTAGATGTTTAATCTTCTGTTCCAGTTTCTCGATATGGTACAAACAGTTCATCAGAAAGACTGGAATATTGGAGATCTGTTTCATGCCGTTGTTCAGTACTGTAAACTGCAAGAAGAAAGTGATACTGTAACAAGCCTATTCGACTGGCTTCTGGAAAAACGCTGATGTTAATAATGCCCTGAAGACATCAAGGCACAGAAGGGATATTGCCACCATTTTAAGTGGTAATTTAAGACAAAAACTGGGATCTAATCAATATAGTCTATTATGTCGACATTGTTGTTGCAAGGTAAATGTCTAAGAGTGTCAAGTATGTTCTTGGTCTAACTAGAAATTGTGACCTTTATAAAATATGTCGGCTAAAGAAAGCAATTTAAAAATTTATGACTTCTGTTTGGACACTGATACATATTCAAAGATGTTGCACCTTTTAAGATTAGCATGCTTCTCATTCTGAAATGCACAGATATGTCTGCAAGATACTGTGTTTTGGAGAGTTATAGAACTGATTACCTGACTTTCTTACTTAAAAGCCTACCATTGAAATTCTTCCTAAAATGTTTCCTTAAGATATGAAGTTAAATTATTTGAACATACTTTTTAAATATACTAGTTCAAAGATTTTTTTCAAACTTTATCAGCCCTAAATTAAAAAATGAAATCAGATGAAAATAACAAAATATTATGATTGATCTAATCTGACAATTCTTTTTCAATGCTAAAAGGAATCTAGTGACATTTACTTCTGTTAATCCATGTAAAGAAAATTGTAATGCTGAGATGTATTCATAAGTACACTTGTTATTTGTGCATCACGTTGTTTTAAATAATTTATTTTAGATATTTGTAAATATTGTATATTTTGGATAATTGCACCTTGGGTAGAATATTATGCTCGTTACATTTTTAAAACTAATGAACAAAAGAGGCTAATGTTGTCAAATAGAATTTGTAATATAAATAACAATTTATATGTCAAAATGGTTTGTTAGAATGTTTTTGCTGTAATAGTATAGTAATATTTTATTCAAAGCACACAAATTCAACTGTCTGCTGTCAAAACTGTTATTGTATTACTGAATGTAGAATTTTGGAAAGAATAAATTTATGTAATGTGATTAGAATTAGGTATTCTTTACTTCCTAAACGAAAATACACCATGACATTATCAAGATATTAAAAAAACTTTCAAGTTTCAAAGAAAATTAATATCAACATTTTTTAATGAAAAAAATTATGAAAGCTAAATAAAAATTGACCACAACATTATTTTCCAGTTGTTCAGCCTACTCTACCCAGCACTGGAATTCTTCAGGCAACAACTTCAAAACACTGTTTTTTAATCCAGCTAGCAATAAATGAAACTCCAGAGCTGGATTCATCATTTGGAGAGCCACAAGGTCCTATGGTTTTTAGTCTACCTAAGTTCCTAATGACTTAATTGAAACAATTATTGATTTAATTGGTATTGACTCCTAATTGTTATTTTACAAGTCTTTAATCATTAAGGCGTTTAAAACAGTTACAGCTCTCAAGCACCAGGATCAAATCAACATTATTACAGTATTTTAAAATATATATTTAACAATGTTTTAAACACTTGCTCCCAATTCAGAAGATGGGAAACTATGACAGCCTCTGCAGTCACTATAACCTTTAAAGAAGGGTTCATATTAAAGCCTTCACGAAATTATTGATTTAGCAACTATATAAAACAAACTGCTGGTATCCAATATCTACATTATTACTAAACCAATGAAGAAAGCAGTGATGTACACAAGTCAATATAAATCCTAAAGGTTCTAATGAATATTACACTGGTACTTTAAAAAAAGTACAGACTTTACTGTACTTTAACATAGCACACTTGCAAGATAGAACAAGGTACATAAGCAAGCTGAAAAGGTAACAGCAAACATGACAAGTAAACAGCTATATATATCTAACGAAGGCAAACAGCAATATTGGTGTGCGGAGACAAATGTGTTTTATATCATAACACTGTGGTGATTAAAAAAGTATTTTCCTCTCGATTCCAATGTTCAGTCCAATTCCAATGTTCGTTTCTAATCAGACCATCTTATTTTAATCCAGACCCCATCAGCGCCATATTCTGCATGTGTTGTCCTTACTGCCTGCATTAGAGAAGCAAATAGTCAGAAAACTCTTCTTAGACTTGAGAAACATAATGAGGCCCTTGATTAAAAACTTGAAGTCAGAAACAGTTTTGTGGCAATCAAATATAATGCTCTTCAAGTAGAAAACCATTGTTTTTGCCAAAGGGCAACCGATTTTTACAAACAACATTCACTTCTGAGCAGTATTTATTTCATGCCTTGCCTTACCTGTAATAATAGTATCCCCTTCATAGTTAAAAGCACATGAAAAAATCTCATCTGTGTGTCCTTCTAGAACCTGCAGACACTGGCCTGTATTCACATCCCATAATCTAGCTGTTTTATCAGCACTTCCAGTCAAAACACGGCTACCCTGGGGGTTAAAGCAGATCTGGAGAAGAAATAGAAATTCTTAAGTATGAGTATGCATTCAAAAAAGCAACAAATGGAACTAATCAAGGTAGTATTACTCAGGCTAGTTGCTTGTAAGGAATGTGTGTGTGTATTTGTATGGAGCCTGATTATACCTGTATTGAAGATAAGGGAAAAAAAGATCCCATTTTCATTAACTGCTTTATCACTAAAGGGTCATGGAGCCTCAACTCAGCATGCACAAGGCACAAAGCTGGACCACATCCTGGACAGAATACCAGTCCTCACAGGGCAACACATGTGGCTCAATATGCCCATGTCAATTAAACTAGACACCAGTCTTGGACAGCAGGAGGAGAACAGAGTATGCAGAAAAATCCCACATGAAGAAAATGTGCAAATTCCACGTCTAAGGCACCACAGCCTGGAATCGAACCAGGACCCATGAGTTGTGAGGCAGCAGTCCTGCCTGCCATTCCACAGTGATAAAAAATCCAAACTGCTTCTGCACATAACTGAATAATAGTGCCTTGATTCTAAAATTATGTAGCACATTATTTGAAGGCAGTGTAACAAGTTTATGAATGCAACATTCCAAAAACAGGGACCATTTTAATAAATAAGTATTTATAGTAAGTATAAAATTACAGTGAATTTTAAATTCGAGAGCAGAGCTCATGTGACATAGGACATCTGGGAGGATTCACAGGAGAGGCTGCCTGATGTATAAGAGTTCCTGGTGAGGTCTTGCAACCTCTGGGACACCCTTGCAGCAGAGAGTCTGGCTCGCTCAGTTGCGTAACAAGAAAAAGCACATAAGTAAAAGACAGGAAATCAAATACATAAATATAAATATGAATTTGCACATAATTCATTATGTAATAGAAATGTTAATAAATTATGAAACAACAGCACACGAGATTACTAGACTGATTTAAGGCTTTTTGTGTTTTATAGATCATTTCCAGATCACAGCACAAAGCTATTTATATATACTTAATATAACTACTCTTAAAATGATGTACCTGTCTGCATGCAAATTTGTAAGGATTAATCAGAAAACAAGCTCTGACATTTTCCAGATACTTCCATACAAACTTTCCTATTATTTTCCTTTTAATAGAGACTGTATCACCCACAAAAAATCACTATTTTCTTCCCTCCGGGTGATGCTTAGGCTTGATCACAGCCACAGTAAAATCTAGAGCTGAAAAACAAATCGTGCTAAAACATTTTAACTTATTTCTCTGAAGAACTACTGAATATGTGTTTTTTTTAAATGCATAATAACAACAAACTAAATCCTGTAAACTGACATTTGATGTAAATGCACAAACATTGCTGCCAAATAATCAATAACCAAAATGATGGATGTGCTGTAAATTGTAAACCAGGAGTTGGTTCACTGCTGCTTTAAAATCTTATATATTGCCAGCCGGAACACATTACTAGGCGATCATTGCTAAAAGCTATTCAGCTGTTTTGGGTGTAAAACATGCTTGTCACAGCTGGGAAATGATTACTTTTCCTTGCAAATAATAGAAAATGTAATTCTTCCTCATTTCCTTGCTGCCTTATTTGAGCAAATTTCCAACATTTCCATTTTCTGGGAAGAGGTTTCTGTAACTCACCTTTGAAATTTCCCCTTCATGTCCCTCCAGTTTAGCAATGCATTTCTGTGATGAGGCACTGTAAACCCTTGCATTTCCTGTTATTAAAAATGTTGTTTTTAATTTAACTTACCACAATCACTCTGTCAACAATGAGAAATACTACATATTACTTTTAAGGATAAGCAAAAATAAAGTTTGGTTGTAATCAAATCAGCAGAGCACCATACAGTAAACCACTTTCTCAGAACTTATCCTTACCCTAACAAAATACCAAGAGATAGTATCAGTATCAGTCCAATAAAATAAACAAAGTGTTTATTTCTACATAGAATGTAATGCAATTAATGGATTAGACTTGGATTGTTTCAATTTCCTTATGTTTGTACATACTGTACAACATACATTCTGAAGAAAAAATAATATCAGTTAACTTGGTATTTTCAGAATTAAGAAATTGATCTATAGCTGCAGAGAGCTGTCTAAGAGTATATACCATCAGCAGATGCAGTTGCAATAAGTTGTCCTGTGTAATCAAAGCAAACATCCAGCACTTCATCTTCATGTCCTGTCAGTGTTGCCAGGCACTTCCCATTGACTGCATCCCAGACCTGAATTACACATGAAAATGATTACAAATCCATCCCAATCCACCTTACTACCATAAACGATTTTATAAAGCCTATTTGCATGTTCTGTGCATTCTACATTTTTACTTTTAGTATTATAAAGATCCTTACTATAAAATATTGCCAAACAATATAACTGGAATTCAAGCACATTACTTAATTTGTCGTAGACTATTACTACACATGATACACACAGAGAATAGGTAGAACATTCTTCCTTCATATAAACCCACTTTCTTGGATTCAGTAATGCTCTGCTCCAGAAACAGGCAACAATCTTTGGACAAGAAAGTGTTTACTATTTAAGGTCAAGTCTAATAATAATAATATGCTGATAATTGACGCTTGCCGTTTCTGTTCTAGGCTCAAAGCTCCAGAGAAGCCGATAGCCTGGAGGTGTACTTATTCCAGAGTGCATTTTATTTCTTGAAGGCTTAAATCTTTAAGGCTAGTGCAAGATCTTACAGCTGTTACTATTTTGTATATTGACATTTGCAGGGGAAAATGATTGGCAATTTTAATAGTAGTTCAGAAAATTGTCAATAATTTTTTAGAATTATAATATATAGCTAGAGTTATGTAATGTACTCTAATGTAATTATAACTAAAGATGGACGTGTTTAAAACTACACTTTAGCGTTGAAAAGTAGGAGATAATAGTCAAGCTCACCTTGCATGTTTTATCCATAGATCCAGTTGCAATGAAGGAACAATCCCAGTTAAACTGTGCACTGCTTATTTCACCCCTATGGCCTATTAAAGTATGGATAAGCCTGAAAGAGGAACAAAAAAATAATTTCTCTTTGCACTCTGTGGTAATTACAATTAAGGATTAAGGGTTTTTTGTCCATGCTTGACTGAATCATTTGTTTCAAAGCAAAGCAATTTTCTGCTTACTGTTCACTCTCTCCTGTGCACAGGAGAGTCACCAGCGAAGGATGCTATTGAGAATCCTATAACATTCAACCAATGTGAAAGCATAATGCACTGTACAGTACATTACATTAACTCTCTGCCTGTATTAGACCAATCAAAGACAGAATAGAAAATGAACACAGAAAGTTTCCTATAGATTAACCCTTCTCCTGAGCAGCCTTGTTCTCTTTACTTAAAACACTGTATATTTCAGGACTTAAAACGTAACTACAATAACTATTTTTGGTGATTATGGCTTGAAGTCTTGCACACAAAATGTTTACGAACCAGCAACAGTATATTTAGTAGTGTACTATTATTTGTATTCCTATTAAATTTCCTAAGAGATTAAGACATTCCTAAGACATTTTATCAAGACATTTCCTAAGCAACTTTAACACAACATACATACAAAAAACATAAAAAACAAGCTCAAACCCGCAGGTCATTTTTTTAATAATACCTAAGAAGTAAAAAAGAATACCTGTTTTTAACAAATTCATTTTTAACCAGCTTTGATTAATATAATTTTTTCCTCAACCTTACATCTTACCTTCGTGTAGAAAAACGTAGAAACCCATGTGTCAGGGAATTTGGGATGATATGATTTATTAATAATGTAAGATTATTATAATGTATTAATAGGCCAGTTGTGTATTACCTATTGTTGTACAAGCTTGGAATAAGTTTCTAACTCAGTTTCAGATAAAGTCCTGTAAACTCCTATTTGTCTGACATTGTGCTATGCCAAGCCCAGACAGTTGTTGAATAGAAGCATAGAGATAACAATAGAAAGTAATGAATTTAGTGTGGGAACAGTTGGAGAACTAAAATTAGAAAGCTCCCCTGTACTGTATGTCAGCTGAGAGGAAATATTTCAGGCTTCCAGTTTTTATAGAAACAACTTAAGGAGAACGGACAAACAGATCTTGTTATACTAGGTATATAACATAGAACACCTATGAAATTGTAATTATTTGCATAGCTGAAACCATTATCCATGGCGACTTATTATGTTTAACATTAAGCACATTTAGAAAAGAAAACAACAGATACGATTTATAATAAAATGTATTAATGTATTAATAAAAAGCCATTAAAAATACAATCTCCTCTGGCAATACAACAAATATAATCAGATAAAGGTTTATTCGATGCAGAATGGAGAAGATAAGGATTGAAAACATTTCAGCTGTGGAGCTTCCTACAGGTGTGTGGATGACTTGACATATTCATTGTAATGAAGACGTTTGATTAGGATCAGCCTTCATGCAGCTACCTACTTAAACGTCTTCAAAACAATGTCATAAAATGTCATAAAAACAACAACATAAGCTAGAAAACAGAACAAAGCTGAAGAGTGAGACACTACAAAATGTCAAGGCTAAGTGTCAAGAGAACAAGGCTGCATTTGGTCAGGTGACCATGAAAGAAGCATTTACAGGTATGTCTTCATCACCCATTTCAGCACAAGCAACAGTTGTTGTTGTTGTTGTTGTTGTTGTTGTTGTTGCTAAAGATTTCCATTAATTTCTTGTAGTCTTACACAGATTTTAAAACAAGTTTATGAAATATCACCATTAATTATTTTCAGCATATTTGTGATCTCTAGTCTGTACAGAGGTTTTAGAAAATGCTTTCAGAAGTGTTTAGATACTGACACATAATTCATGAAAAAACAATCCAGTGTATATGTTTTTACCTTCCAGACTGAACATCCCACAATGAAATTGTATGATCAAAGGAGCCTGTGATGATTTTATCTCCAACTGTGTTAAATGACAGTGAAATTATTTCTGCAGAATGACCCTGGAATACAAATAAATTGCTCAATGCATTTTACAACTGCAATACAAAATGACATTAAGTTAGATTCAATAAAAATAAAATTATTTGAATTCTTTTCATCATAAATGTTTACATTCCTTTCTACAGCTATGTTGGTGGTTGGCTAAAAGTAAAAAAGAAATGTGATCCAATAAAGAAATCAAATTATAAAATTATTTACATTGACCAGGCTTGCTTTGAAGAAATTGTAAAACTGCGCAATACAACAGCAGACACTGTTGTCAACCAAGCAAAAACATTAAAAAAATATTTTAAAAAATTAAATTAACAGCATTAAATCGTTCGTTTAAAACTGGGAACAAATTACATAGCTTATTAAAATTGTATCCCCAAAAAGAGTTTTCAGATTGGCAATATTGAGAGTTTACAATGGTCTGGTATTTTTTTAGTCACATTCTGCTTCATCCAAATGTAAGTAAATGCATCTTTAACATTTTCAAATTTGTATGAGTAGAGATACATTTTTAATAGAATATATGGGTTTGTGACATCAGGTTATCTTCTGCGTTTTCCAAGAAAATATAAACATGCAAAGTAATTTACATTTTGAGGTCAAAATAAAATTTGGGACCAAAAAATGACCCCCACTTCACCCAAAGTGTGAGGAAACGTGAACAAGTACAGAATAAGTCATGAATATTGATCCCCTGACATTCCACAATCACTTCAACATGACCACAATGCTAATTCTCTTCTGATTATGTCTGAATTCTGTTTTTACATACAAATCATAAATCATATACAAATTAATGTAGCATAATTACGCAAAACTAGACTTAAATAGATTACTCAATGTACAAAACAACCGTTTTGATTATATCAAACTACTATAGAAAAACAATACTCATGCTCAGGCTAATGTTACAATGGAGGTAAATAAAGTACAAATACAGCTTCCTTTTTGTTTAATAGACTCTTGATGATATTACCTTGTAACCAACCAACAATGCAGATGCAGGTGGAAACTGCATTTCATAAAATACTACAAAGCATGCAATCTTAGTTTTTCCTAGGCCTGTTACTTAAATTTCAGTATTTCCTTCAGTAAATCAATATGCAAATGCAAGGGGAATTCTGAAACAAAGTAAATAGTGGAGGATTAATGGTGGCATCTAATTCAGTCACTCATTTAAAGAAATTGTTAAATTAAACATTTTTTTCTTGTTAAATATTGGAACACTATTAATAGTCAATCCGAGGATCAGAGTTTCTATTCGCTATACGTTTAGCCAGTTTTCAGTTATTCCTCTACAAATATCTATTTATAAGCCCAAGTGGGGTGTGCAGAAAGCAGTTAAAATAATTAAGAAAAGTCTTAAATAATCAAAGAGCAAAGCAACTGTGTAGCTGCAGCTAAAACTGGAAGACACATTAGGAGAGTAGGATACAGTAAGAGATGCATTCATAAAAGATTGTAAGGATTTCTTTTCTTCTCTTTCTTCTGCCAGAATTTCAAATTGGCCCTGGTCAAAAACTAAGAAGCTGTGCAGCTTTAGACTTGGCAGGTATCCTCAGTGAGATAACCTGCTGAATAACACGGAAAAACAACGGTGTACTGCATCAACCCAGATGGCAGTCTGACGTAATTATTCCAAAAAAATATTAAATCTTCCTGGGAACTGCTGTGGTGATTGAAGTGAAATTTGGCAGATTTTCAGCAACAGCCAAAGTTGTCTAAGACTTTTCATAGTATGAAGACGATGAAAATGTGAAAACTAGATTCCTGGTAGCCTGACCACCATTTCATTTTACTTTCTGTTAATACAAAGTCCACATTACTGATTTTCTGTTCAAAACCTGTTAGGACAATAAACTCCAAATCAGACAGGATTTATTTCCTGGTAGAAGTGTTTGGTCCAGTGACCAAACAATTAACATATTGCATAATAACATTAACCCACAATGACTACCTGACATATTTGTTAGTCCACAGTAAGTCATCAACTACTTTACAAAAAACATACTTTAATGCAAACTGCTCCTGCTCAAAAACTGTTGAGCCCGTTAATTCCAAACTTGATCTGTACAATTTCAGTAACATGTTCTGTTCCTTCATAGCAAATGGCTGCGCTGAAAATGATCAAAGCCTTGTATATATGTTAAACTGTAACTGTTGGACATGTTTAGCCAATTAACGCTATAGTTGGTACTGTATATATAAACATGGAGCAAAGCAATTTAAGTAAAGTATGTATAACTGGTGTTTTCATGTTTCGTGTTCCTATGTAATAGTCGTTTGCAAACTGTAATCTGAAATAAAGATGAACCAGGTGTCAGTGATTATGCTACTAAAGACACAATTATTTTATGATTTACAATTAACATCCACTCTATAAAAATCCAACTGCCACATTTCTTCACTACACAACAGCAACTTGATAACGATTGTTATATTAGTGAAGTCACTATTTCTTATGTTCTATCTTGGCTAATAGTGTGTGCTTTGTAACAATCTTATACCGCCACATTGGTTTACAATAGTAACTCATTACAAAAAAAAAACTTTCTTGGAAGCCATCAATCTTCTGCAATTGTACCTGTAATTTTAATTTCAACCTACTTTTAAATCTGCAAAACATTCTGACATGATTAGAAATCAACATGCATGTTCCACTTTTATGCTGTTGCAGACTGGAGGAAAACCAAAATACAGAAAATTTTAAACTTCAGTTATCTACCAGACAAGCATTGTTTGTATCCTAAAATATTAATGATTGAGTGGAATAATTTAATGGCAATTCTTTTCTCTTAACTGTGCACTTTCATAGGATATAAAACAGCTCTCGCTGCTTGACACTGCAAATGCTAGGCAGAATTTTAAAGGACTTTATTTTAAGGTTTTTATTGAAAACAGAAATGTTTATATAAATCCTACTTTAAAACTTTAATTTGTGCAAACAGTTTACTCATGGAAATAAGAATGTGGTGTGGCAGTGTCTTTATGTATAAAAATGTAAATGATCAGGAGCGTAAGCCTCACCGTTAAAGTTGCAGCTTCTTCACCAGTCTGGATGTTCCATAGTTTTGCAGTAGTATCCATACTCCCTGTGGCCACCAGTGTACTTTGTGGATTAAATGACAAACACACCTGTTAAAACAATACATGACAAGTTTTTCCTTTTAAAAAATTACTGAATTCTTCACATTACTTCATACAGAACTCCAGTGAAGCACATTTTACACGTCACTGTAAAATCTTTATATTATAATAAATGGGTTAAAATCTGTTTACCTGAATCACATTTAATGGGCTAAACACTGAAAAACATATTTTAGATCTCGAGTTTTGCGGCCTAATGATTGCAAGTAAAAAAGGAAATAGTTTAGTTCTAGTCTTTTTCACAGTTAACACATTTCCTGTATTACTTATTTCAATTGTATCAGATTATGCATGTGAGAAGTGTTCTTACAATTTCTGCAGTATGGCCACGAAAAGTGTGGTAACATTTGCCTGTCTCTGCACTCCATAATCTGCACGTCTTGTCAAAGGATCCAGTAGCAATTTTGTCTCTGTTAAAAAGGCAGAATATAGACATCCATATGTTAGCAACGGCTGTATCATCTTCTTTGAAATACTGTATTGCTATAAACATTCAATTCTTGCACTGTAAATGCTTAAAATAACAAAGCATTATTCTGTATAACAAAATCCATTCGTAGGGCCTGTATCACATCTTTGTTTTGCTAATCTTATACAGGGGAAACCATACTTTTGACATACTATATGTATGACTGTGCTATATAACGAAACAAAACATATTTTAAAATGCAGTAAAATTAACTTCATAAAGGGAATTAGAGAAGATTTGGTCAAATGGTATTACCCATAGGGGTTGTTGAAAGCTATTGCATAGACAACATTTCTGTGTCCCTCCAGTGTGTGTAGTTCTTCTCCTGATGCTGTGTCCCATATTTTGCAAGTCCTGTCGTAGCTGCCAGTAATAAAGCTGTGAAGAATAAAAACCATGAAACTACAGACCTTAATTTACAATATTTGATTCTATTTGAATATTTCATGCCAATCTTTTAAGAAAAATATCAAGTAGTCAATATACACTTACCTTGATCCCGATTTATTAAAAGCAACATTTGTTAGTGGCAAAATATGTGCTCTCAATACCTGGAAAGTGAACAAAATGAAAATATAAATAATTTAAAAACATATGTCTCCAAAAACAAGTAACATTCTTTGACAGGTCATCTAAAACAGGTCTAACAAGAAAATCAAAACTTCTCCTGTATGAAATAAAAGGTTATTTACACCACCTGTGCTGACCATCAAAAGGGGTGTATGACGAACTTCAACAAATTCGATGGGCACTCCAACAAAAGTTATTCCACTAGTAAATCCATCTAAGGTAGTTTAGTCCAGTCTCCAGCATATCAGTGGCACAAAGGCACTGATCTCTTTATCAGCAGGACATCTACTGTAGGTTTCTTCCTTTTTTCTTTCTTGACTTACATCAGGCATAACATTCAACTTGTTAAATCACCTCATTACCCATGCGCAATCAGCTAATCTGACTAATGAGGACATTTAGTACTTATGCAAAAAAGTAAGTCACTTCAGTGTTTCACTGTCAGCAATGAATGATAAATTATGACAAAAAATGTCAAAATTACAGCAAAAATATTTAATCACAATACCAAATATAATACTTTATTTTTCCTAAAAATACATGTATATATAAATATGTGGTACAGTGAGAAATGTATTTTGTTGCTCAGTATATTGTTTAAACAACCTCCTGGTATAATTGCTTATCCAAAGAACACATATTTTCCAAATTGCCTTCTGATATCAAATATCATCAAAATTCTATGTAGAACGAAAACAAAAACAAAAAAGTTACAAAATACTTCTTAAGGGCCCAGGACTCTCTAAAATGTTTCAAGGAAATCAAATGTAAGCATCTTGTACATAAATTATTTATTGGAATAATCAAGCATAAAATAAGGACTGATTTAGTAAGACCTTGAGAAAACAACAGTAACATTTTCCTGAAATAGACTGTGCTATGCATCGACTTAAATAAATTATCAGCACTACATTAGCCCAGGGCAAATGTGTATCATTTGAAGTTTTAGCAACACAGAACATTGCTAACTGCATTGTTCCAAAAAGATGTATACATTTTGGCTGCAGAGCAACATTCATTCATCACAGTTTGCAGAATCTGATCTATCTACTATTAATATGCCAACAGAGGTTTTGTTAAACAGTGAAACACCATGTAGTACACTGCATTTTCCATATCTTAAAGATTTTTAGTTATTTTCTAAATTTAGTTTAAATTGCAATATTTTTTCCATTACTTATTCATATATAGCCAGCAGCCATATCACCCTGAAACTCACAACTGGCAACCCACTGAAGCTAAGTAGGTATGAGCCTGGTCAGTACCTACATGAGAGACCTCCTGGGAAAAACTAAGGATGTTAGTGGGGCCAGCAGGGGGTGCTCACCCTGCGGTCCATGTGGGTCCTAATGCCCCAGTATAGTGACGGGGACACTATACTGTAAACAAGCGCCATCTTTCGGATGAGACATAAAACTGAGGTCCTGACTCTCTGTGGTCATTAAAAATCCCATGGCGTTTCTCGAAAAGAGTAGGGGTGTAACCCCGGCGTCCTGGCCAAATGTCCCATTGGCCCTTACCAATTATGGCCTCCTAATAATCCTCATCTATGAATTGGCTTCATTACTCTGCTCTCCTCCCCACTGATAGCTGATGTGTGGTGAGCGTTCTGGCGCACTATGGCTGCCATCGCATCATCCAGGTAGATGCTGCACATTGTTGGTGGTGGAGGGGAGTCCCCATTTCCTGTAAAGCGCTTTGAGTGGAGTGTCCAGAAAAGCGCTATATAAGTGTAAGCAATTATTATTATTATTATTATTATTATATTCACATAAAACAAATAACATCTGTAGATCTTAAGACCTAATTCCAAATCCATGATGATTTACAAACTCATTAAAATCAGAAAGGCAAATACAATGATAGAATCCTAAGTAAATTAGGTAAGGCAAAAGTTTAATCAGGCTACATCTATTAAGAATTGAAGCTCACAACCAGAACAGGCATCTATTAACTTATATCTAACATGTTTTCTGTGAAATGTTATTGCATTGCTAGCTTAAGAAATAGCCATTGAAACCTAATAATGATCCTCTGGGATCAATATTGGTTAAATAGTTTTAATAATGCATAACATACATAGTATCTATATGTCAAATGTCTTTTTAAGTATTGCATGAAAACATATTCCATGTATATGATTCATTTAACTATTATATATAGTTCTGAAGATTTGTATCACACTACATTGATTTTCGTGAACAAGTAACAAGGAACTTAATTAAGCTTTTCATAAATTCACCAGTTTAATTTCGGCCCTGCAGATGCAGTGTAGACATATAGCCTAACTTCTGTCTAATACTGATTGCGCCAGTCTAGTTTTTTTTTAATATTACTGTAAATCTTTAAGCATCACCCTACAGATATTATCAGTAAGATGGCCAGTTCTCTGGGTACCACAGTTTATGAACAAGGAGGCAGAGGTAACAAATGTAGTGGATTGCTTTAGTTGTAACCACTGTTAATATTTATGTTATTAATGTATATCATTGTTTTCCCTGCACCTCTGGCTATAACAAATTGTAAGGATTTCAAACATGAGCAAATAACACCTTTACCACTGAGCCAGTGATGATCTGAAAGTTGGAACAAATTTACAAGATGTATAACTCAGTGTCTTGAGAGTGACAGCTCAATGTATGACAATAAATCTAAATCCATAGTGAAGCTTTGCATGCTGTAGGGCAAAGAGAATGATAACTGCATTAGCTATTTTCAATCTACTAAAGCTTGACTTTGTTTTAATACTGTAAAAAACTAAAAGCTCCAATTTTGTCATGTAAGACGTGACCCTGAGGAACAACTTCAAAATAGACAAATCTCAGTATGACCTGTATTCATATTAAGTGCTAGCAGAACTTTCTTGCCCCCTTTGAAAAGCTGAAGATGTTCAGTTGAAGATGTTATGCAGAAGATGGTTCTCAGATTCTGAAGATTGCCTTTATATAGTCTTAACTGGACTGTGGTTCTCAAAAGCTGAGCACAAGCAAGTTGAAAAAAATACTTTTTTAGAGCAAAATTTCTTACCTTAAAGAGATAAAACCTGCGATCATCCTGTTGGCCAAGTTTTTCCTGCAATCTTTGTATCAGTTGTTTAACTTGTTCGGTGCGTGAGGCAGTGATAAGAGGCTCTGTCTTTTTTATTTCTTCTGTTAATTCGGCAACATCTGTCCTGCACCAAAGGAGAGAAGGGAATGAACCCAGTGACACTGCTGATAGTTGTTTCAAAAATAATTATCAAAATCCAAGGCAATCAGACTATTAATTAATGGAATAGGCAAGTCTACCCTGAGAAATTTGTTGTGAGCATAATCTAACAACCCATGTAATAATGTACTCCAGCAATTACACTGAAATATACTAACAATATCTGTTTGCTAGATTTCTGATTCTGTCAGGTTGGTTTTAAAGTGAAACAGAGTATAAAATCTGGAGGTACTGGACTATCAGGAATATAGTCAGAATATATTTTCCTTTTAAAAACACATTCTAGTTGCGCAACATTTTTACATATGTTTTTTTTAAGCTTTCTGAAAACTATAACTGTGGTACATTACTTACTCTGGAGACAGATCCAGGAGGTCGATGGATTTTGTCTTCAGTTCCCCTCCTTTCTCATATTCCAGAATAATCCCTAAGAAAAACCAAAAACAAAACTGGACTGTACTTCATTTTTATCAACAAATACAACAACTATCCTCTTCTTGCATTATTTTGTCCTTGATCTGCTGTAAATCAAACAGATCAAATTTTGTTGAAAGAAATGAGCCCAATACCATCTATCACATGTACAGTACAGAATTGTAAAGATATTATGAAATACTTTTTTCATAATAAAAACAGCTGATAAGTTTGTAATCACCATACTATGTCGCATGGAAGATGTTACTCTCAAAACTAAAAAAAGGTGCATCCAAGATTTCAGTCATGCTTTGCTTTGAGAAAATAAATGCAACTTGCAAAAACTATCAAAAACACCTGCGTGACCTCACTAAAAACGAAAAACTGCGATATGATTCCTGTTTTTTTTTTTCTCAAAAGATACGCGGAGCTGAGCAGCAGAATGAGGAAAATGTATACAGCCTTATCACTCCGGACAAAAAGAGGAGCCTATCTCCATGAGTTGCGCTTTCTGCATTTCAAGCAAACGTGCTATTGGTTTGAAACAAGCGAAACAAACATAAGGATGGAGTTTACAAAGCTTCTGTAAATTCATACTAAATTTTAAAATACAAAGTTTGTATATTTTCTTACCTGGGGGATAATAACGTACCAAGAACCGTTTGAGCCTCATCTTTTCCTCTGGCTTAAACACAGTAAACAAACCGTCGCTATAGCAACGTATACACTCGCGGGCAGTCGCACAGAGCTTCCAATGTGCTGGGTCTGAAGGCCTCGTTTTATGTGCTTTGTAAAACTTTTATTATAACTTCATGTTAATAAAACCTTATAATATATTATGTATTTAAAATGTATATTTTGTTTGACTGTCCCAGGCAATGTTCATTTTTTCTTCCACAGTAAAAAAACGAAAAGAAATGTCCACCACATCATTAAATTGTAAAGTTTGTTTGAACACACTGGAAATTCGGATCCAAGATCCATAAAATACAACATTCTCTCAGATGCGTACATAAAGTGACAAATTGTGTAAATATTAAAAATTATTAAAAATAAGTTTATAATTGCATTTTTAACAATATCCATTTTTTTGCATGAGCTGGATGGGTTAAGACTACCGGAATCAAACTACAGATTAAATAATCTAATCTGAAAACTTTGGACCTGATTAGGGCTACTTCTTTTGTCACACTATTATTTAATCGTTTTGTAAATGAAGCCATAAAACAAGTCTTGTGAAATTCCAGAGGTCCACTGCTATCCGGTTTTATAGATCAAAGTTTCCCAACAAGTGCTGTGCTATGCAGCCTTGTAGCCTGGTTTCAGGGTTCTTACAGGCGAGGAGTGGCAGCCGAAACCAATCACTGAGCACTACCTGTGTGTGAAACTTGTTCAAATCAGCTTCCACACTTCATCCAACAAAACAGCCCATCTGGACAGCACTGCAGAGGTCCCGTGAGGATATATGAACAGAATCATGAATTCCTGGTGGAAAGATTGGAGCTCCAGCTGGGTATATCACACAGTAGTTCTCTCTGTCTTTGGATTTTTTGCCAACTTCCGACCAGCAGAGCCCTTTCTTACACCTTACCTCGTTGGGCCCTACAAAAATATCTCAGAGGAGCAGGTAAACGCAGACGCGTGCAAATAAAAGCTTTATCTTCTCTAAGTAATCACTTTCAGCAATCAAGCTTGATTTCACGAGTCTGAATCCTATGACAATGGGATTTCATGTTATTATATAAATAATTTAGTAGGGTGAATGTAAAAATTATATCATTTTTGTTTAATATTGCTAGCGGTTCTAATCTAAATATGCAAGCATGTGTAATGCAGAAAAAAAATAGACTTGAAAAATATAGCCCTGTATTTAATAAATATTGCCACCATTCGGTTCATATGCTGGCTTATCATTCCTTAGATTTGATATGCTAATTTGAACAAGTCAGACTTGTTTTTATAATGCATTTGGTTATTTACTTTTTTCTAGTTAATGGTCTGTTTTTATTCAGGGGCTCACCCTTGAAAGGAAAAATATGTAGCATTATAAAGTGAATGCTCATTAACAAACTGTACTTCACAGTCCATTAATAAACTGTAGTCTGCATTTAAAAATAGACTTCAACTGCTCATATGTTTTCTGCAAATATCTTCTAAGTGTACTGAAAGTGCAAAATCTGAGCTAGTGTGTGCTTTGTGAACCAGTCAGTGCTCGAACCTCTGAATTCAGAAGTTTTTTCTCGGGTTTAGATGCTTAAAAACAATGCAATGTTTGCTCTGACTCCAAACCCACAGGAACAGAACAGGAGGCTTCAACCTGGGTGGAGGCAACCCAGGCAGTCTCTCAGAAGAGAAGATTAGATTTGTACAAATGTGTCAAATCAAAACTCGCCTAGTGGATGAGCTCTGATGATAATTAAAGTGGATCTACCGGCAGTTCTAGTTTAAATTGTATTAATTGTAAGATCACTTTATTGGCCATATACAATTTCTTGTATTAGGATTTTTTTTCTTTTTGCTTACCCCAGCTTGCTCTCCATGAGACACACAGGCAGGGAGAGAGAAAGTGGGGAGAGAGCAGAGTCAGCCATTTATACAGCACCCCTTGAGCAGTTGGGATTGGGGCCTTGTTCAGGAGCCCAACAGAGTAGGATTCCTCTGCCGCACATGGGATTTGAACTGGGAAGCTTCCAGCCACAGGCACAGATCCTTAGCCGCAGTGCCACCACTCTGCCCCAATACTAGACTACAGGTGGAATGGTAGCGCAGTGGGTAGCATTGCTGTCTTACAACTCTGAGGGTTCAGATCTGGACCTGTGGTGTGATCTGTGTGGAGTGTGTATGTTCTCCCTGTTTTTGTGTGGGTTTTGGTGTGACTGTGTGCGAGTCTGTGTCTGAGATGGGCTGGTGTCCCGTTCATGGTGTATACTGTCCTTGCTTGCTGGGATAGGCTCCAGCACCCCCGCAACCCTGTATTGAATAAAGCAGTTCTAAAATGGATGGATTACTTACAGTATATGAATTGCTGATTTTAACTTGATTCATGTTTAAAGTATCAGTCCTTGTTTGAGAGGAATCTACTAAAAGGTGTCATCTACACAAAAGAGGTTTAAAATGCTTGGAATAGAGTACTTAGGCTTTTGTGCACATGGAAGTTGCTACTGTTAAATGAGATTCTAGTGTACTGCTGAGGTGACTCACTTATGGAGTTGCTCTGTTGAGGACACTCACTTAGTTAAGGGACAAAAAAGCTCTGAAGGGAGAGGGCTTTGATGTCAACAGCTGATACACAATCAGTGAGCACTTCCCCGCTTCACTTAAAGCCCAGTGTGCTTTTGAGAACCCTGCGAGTTACATTTTTCCTAAAGCTAAACCAAGTGCCATTTTCTTTACCGTCTCCAGCACTGTATTGAGTTCGTAGTCCTTAAATATGTGCAAGTAAATGGTGTCAAATTCTATTTTTATAGCTTTTATTATTATTCCCTGACCTTTTTTTATTGTTTCCGAGGCTGTGATTTTACAGTAAATCAATGCACACACCCTCTTTTTAGTTGAGCTACAAAAGAATTAAAAAAGACACGGCTGTCCATTTCTCTCCTTACACAAAACAAATGTTATTCTTTCTTGAGAGAAAGGTGTGGTTTTTCTTGGAAAACTGGGATTTATAATCTACGCAGACCTTGTACTCTGTTTTCCACAAAACTTTATTAAAATGGCTAATCACACTGCTTGGTTGATTTATATGATCTTATCACATCGTAAAGACCATATCATGAGTAGAAACCAATAAACACATTATAGAAAACTAGCAGTTTCAGTGGGTATGTCACTAAGGGTAGCAGTGACTCTAGACCTCAGCACAGAGAATAGGCAGAGGAAAACTAAAGAACGTAATACACAACAGGTGATTGAACTGATATGACCACTTCTGCACTAGCAATAACTCCATGCAGAAGAGCCCTCATTTACATACCTACTGAAGTGGAAGGCAAAAAGCGGTGCCTTTAAGCCAGAACCAGAAGCCAAAACTCTCACATGCCGATACAATGCCTTTATGTCCTTAAAGTCGCAACTCCCCACCATCTGGAAGAGATCGGCTCTTTTATATGACAGGCCTGGCTCCAGCGTCTCTATGTGTCCCAAACATCCAGGCTTGGGGTGGACGGCCATGACCGTATGTAACTGAATTCTGAGAAAGCCAGAGATCAAGAGAGCCTCCATGTCGTCGATTACCTACTCATAGCTGTATTCACAGATACCTACACTGTATTAACATTAGGTGAATATGTAATCAAAATGGGACAGGTCAAATGTTTATTCCATGCTGAATGCAAAAGAAAAGAGACAACTTTTCGGCTATGGACCCTTCTTCAGGTGTTTCACCTGTGGAGCCTTCATGTGACGTCTCTTCTCCTTTCAGCATGGAATCAACCTTTACCTGTTCCTTTGCAGCCTATGCATGCTGACGCATCAACCTGCGATTTCTTATTTTCTGTTCATTCAGAGTAGGTAGTTCTTTTTTTTTTTTTAAAAAGGGTAGGAAAGTTATACAAATGTTAAAATATTCTGTAAGCCACTTGTTGCACAACCGGTGTTGTTCTGAAACAGTAAGCAATGTGTTTTCCGTTCCTTTCACAGAAGTGTGCGAGAAACCACTTCTTAATGAATCATGCACCTCCTACATGCCTCTATCATTTTCTCAATAGGTGACAAACATCCTGTATCCAATATGGACTTACTCGTACCTGGCTCTGCTCTTACCCGTATTCCTGCTTACAGACTATTTGCGCTACAAGCCCATCATTGTGGTCCAGGGAGTGTGCCTGGTGATAAACTGGACCCTGCTGTGTTTCGCCCAGGGCATGCCAGCCATGAAGTACCTGCACTTCAACAACGGGATAGCCACAGCCACAGACGTGGCCTACTTCTCTTACATCTACTGTGTGATACCTTCAGACCGCTACCAGAAGGTCACAAGCTACTTGAGGACGGCAACGTTGGTAGGCTACACCGTGGGGTCCACACTAGGCCAGCTTTTGGTTTCAGTGGCCGGGCTGCCTTATTTTTACCTCAACGCCATCAACCTGGGCTCAGCATTGATGGCTTGCCTCTCTTCATTCCTTCTACCCATGCCCCGGGCGGGGGGCATGTTCTTTAACAAAGAAACTGCAGCTCCACCTGGAGAGCAGTGCCAAGACTCCAGAAGCCACGATAGGGAGGAGGACAGACCGTCTACCCCCCCAGGGGATATCAAACCGCCCAGAAAGAAAGGACAGGCCGCCGGGAAGCTCCGCAGGAAAAATCTGGGTTGTGCCGTCCATCTCCTGTGGACCAGCTTCATTGACTGCTACTCCTCCAGGAAGCTGATCTACTGGTCACTGTGGTGGGCGTTTGCGACTTGTGGGTACTACCAGATCTTCAACTATATCCAGCTAATGTGGAATCACATTGAGCCTTCAGGGAGCTCCCCGGTGTTCAATGGTGGGGTAGAGGCAGTGACAACACTTGTAGGTAAGCAAACTGTAACACAAAAACCCTGGGACCTGTTACCAGAAAGTACATTTGGATTTAAGAGCATAGTTAGCATTCACTTGCAGAAAGACAAAAAAAATACTGTTCTTCCGTCAACCCAAATTATTTTAAACCAAAACATTACTATGACAAAAACCTTCCAATTATTTTTAAAAAAGGAACAGATAGATATTTAGCAGACTGTCCTCTTAGAGCAAAATTTAATAATTTTGAGAAGCTGGCGAATATGAACTACAGTTGGATATGATTTGAATCCTGTTTTACTGGGAAAATGGAGGGCACGCTATTTAAGTCTGTGCATCTTCAAAAATGTCATGTTATACAAAATCACAGACATTTTCACATAAATTGAATGTTGTGCAGCATAGCTAATGTAACAAAAATCATTTGAGCAGCATTTGAAATGATGTCTTTTCTGCAAAGGTCACTCATTAAAAATATGACTCCAGAATTTTTGCCGCTGTTGGTTGTCAAAAGGTTTGGCCCTGCAGAAATGGTCTACAGTAAGACAGCCAGCCTTTGATGTTCACCTGATGGCCCCGTACTGGAGTACTACAGTGCTGAAGTGCATTATCCTCCTCCCAGCTCTTTCCTTCCTGTATTTCTAGAACTCTGACTCATGTTTAATACATGTCCAGGTTCTTCTGCCCTGAAAGGGTCATGAAAGCTCTGACATTTTCCTTGTCTGTCTTTTAGAGAAATCTACAAATGAGAATGGATGTTGCTGAACTAAAAAACATTTTTCACGATGGGGAATATGATGTATTAGTTTAATTGAAAAGAGTCATTACATTAATACGTCTTGAATACTGCATATATTTAATGAGTCATTCTACATGACCAGGTCCATCGATTCACTTAATGACAAGTAATTTGAAAAGAAAATGTTCAACAAGTACTATCATATTAAAACAATATGTTTCCAAGACGTTAATGGATGTAAAAATGACATTTTATATCAAGTCAGTGCCAGAGCCATTTTGACTTTCAAGGGATTGTCGAGTATGTCAAGGAACAGAAGCTCTATTGCCAGTTTTTGATTGTCATGAAAAATGGCTGTTAAGCTCAGCTGCATTAACTCATTTATAAAAGATATCTGGGTGGGTGGCACATTCCAACTCTATAATTCATTCAAACAGCTGAATAAAGGACATTTCATAAAGCCACATTGGAAATCAATGTAACATTAATGACCGAAATTAATTTTTCATTTTTTCAAAATATGTTGTGGCCATGTCCTACATTTTTTGGAATATGTTTACAATGATCTTAAAGTTCTCAATTGACAAGCACTTGTTTGGCTAATTTATCAAGTTTCAGCACTGCACCTCTCAGATTCAGATTTGGAAAGTGCGTTTCTGCTTATGTCAGAAGTCTAGGGTGCATACCTTATCTGTTTTTTTATTTATTTTTCTTAATAACTGTGCTTTTCTCCATATGACAGAAAGCATTTATCAGAACTGAGCATTGATGCAGACTGAAAACTAAAAAGCCTTCATACAGCCATCAACAAATTATAAAAAGCAGTGCTCTTCAGAGCCTGCAGTAGCATCATAGAGACCAATTAAGAAACTGAAACTCATACAAGGATGGGCCTATTTTTATACTGAAGAGAAAAAACATCAAGCAGTTTGATCTGAACAAAGTATGAATCCTTAAAGCACACTCAATCAGTAGACAAGCCTCTTGTGCTGGGCTGTTAGTTTCCGAGAGAGTACATTGGAATGACAAATACATTAGCAAAAACAGGATTTATTATTTAGCTTTCCAGCCCAGGCGGTAATTCACAGAGTGCGAAAGACAAACACTCCCATTCAGATTGGGTCTAAGTGCTCCCTAGCCTGCAAGCAGGCTGCAAAAAAAAAATGTCAGGGCCACTTTGCAGAGGGGAAAATCACAGAATGCACACATTTACTCCTAGTTCTAATGAACCTCAGATAAATTGAAGTTGATCTGTAAAAGCCAGTTCCAAGCCTTTTCGTGCAGTGGCTACTACTAAGGACATTTCATAAAGCCACATCGGAAATCAATGTTACATTAATAAATAAAATGAATTTCTAACTTTAAACCCACTAAGGCCACGCTCCCTTGGTTTCGGTTATGGATTTGAGGTTCCTAGCACTCTTCTGAGGGTCCTCTTGTGTACTAGTGGTGTCTCTGGTTTCTGTTCCAGGTGCCATTGCCGCCTTTTCTGTGGGGTTCATGAAGCTGGACTGGGATATCTGGGGGGAACTGGCCTTGGGGCTGTTTTCTGCAATCAGTTCGGGTGCTGTTTATGCGACTGTGCTCACAGACAGCATCTGGGTCTCTTATGCTGGTTACGTGACCTTCAAAGCATCTTACATGCTGCTGATTACCATAACCACGTAAGTCCAGTTGCTCTGGATTGTGTTTACAGCACGAGGCCACCTGTATTAGAAATCCATCACAATGCTCTGCGCAACACAAAGATCTGCCTGGTGTCACGGTCTTGTGATAACTCGGCATGTAAAAGATGCTCTACTTCAGAATGATTTACAGAGACTAAGGGCCAAGAAACAAAGGAATGCTGTTAGATTTTTGAGGGTTTGATATTTTTCCCTGGTTTTAAATACACCTCTGGATTTATGAAACCACAGGCCTTTAATATAGAAGATTGTTTTTAGCATTATCCTGTGTTTATATTTAGATGACATAGAAAAAAGAATTGTTACTGGTTTCCATTCTCCTGCTTGTTCCTCCCCCCAAAACCTGAGTTTATGATGTAATTACAAAAGAGCTTCACTATTTCTTTTTCTTAGAATACTGTACATACTGGGGACAGTTTCACTGCTATAGGGAGAGAGATTGTCATTTTCAGAGACAATGGTGGATGAATAAACACAATCCTCCAATGAATCCTGAAGAGTCCCTCAAAAACATCTTGCTGACAATAATCAAACAAAGTATTCATCCCATCTGTCCAGACCCCATGTCACCCTAAATGACTCAATGGTTGGTTATTGTTGAAGCCAGAACATACAAATGCTACAAAAGTATTACCCAGCAATAAGTAAAACGATATGTTTTTATTATGCTAGTACATACTGTACAAGCCTATATGTTATCTTGTAATAAACTAGAGAACAAACAAGGTTTAGCTTAGTGATGACCCAAAGCAAATATACCTTTTATGGGCAAGAATGTCACTTATCACTGCCCTGGCAAGTTCTGAGCTGCCATTTTAAATTGTCAGCACCAGTGCTGGCTCTCAAGAGTGGGCTAAAAGGAACAGAAAAGTCCGCCATTTTACAGCACTGCTACATTATAGTCTCATGGGTTATTTTTGGCAGGTTTCAGATTGCTGCTAACCTGTCTCTGGAGTGTTACGCCCTGGTATTTGGGATAAACACCTTCGTCGCCCTTCTTCTCCAGACAATACTGACCGCCATAGTGGTTGATGAGAGCGGACTGGGACTGAGCATCGTCAAGCAGGTAAAGAAGCAGCCCCCCCCACACACACACACAGTGACAGCGTGAGCACTGAGAACAGGAGGTTTGAGGGGTTACCCCAGCCGGTCTCTGTGTTAAACGTGTAGGAGCCTGCTTTTTCTTCCACAAGGACTGGTCCCAACCTCGCTGTAAAGTAAGGAAAGAGTGACACGCAGTGGCACCAGCTTGAACTCTCCCACAATCCCTGTTGACACACACAGTAAAACTGCACCGTGAAGAGGTCTGGATATTTTCTTAGGAAGATGCGTGCATGATTGAAACATTTCTTTATCTCTAGGCCAACTACTTTACTCTGTATTTGAATATAGGATACATTCTATTATTTTATATCTACACTTTGATCATTTCAAACTGATATTACTTTATTATACTATAAGAATGTATTTTCCAACCTATTTACACTTAGAATAGCTTCTAAGCACACAGTATCTTAATGTATTTTAACTAATACCTAAGCGCAGCGCGATAATTCTTTGGGTGTTTTTTTCCCCTTGGTGGCAGCAATGCGCTTCCGTACACTGAGAATCAGTATTTCACTGTGCACATTTAAACCCATCATATATTCCTCTTTATATTATCTGGCTCTGTTACTGTACCATTAAATGTATTACTTCATACTTGAAGTCAAATAATGAAGAATGTTTTCCGCGCTGTTGAAAAATTCTTTATTATCGATTATTTACAACGTACAGTAACGTTCAAGATAATTCATTCGCTCTTTCGAATACAAGCGTGGGTTCAAAGTTTGGAGTACAGCGGCCCTGAAATGTACAACCGCAGCAAATTAGAAAAAACGGTTGTTGTGCGTTTTAATTTGCTTTTGCGTTTTGCATTTCTTGACACTGCAACGGAGTATTTAGTAAAATAATTGAACGTACCGTTTAATTAGAAAACAAATGGAAAACGTGTTTCCGCCCGGTTTCGAACCGAGGACCTTTCGCGTGTTAGGCGAACGTGATAACCACTACACTACGGAAACTGACTGGCGAAGGACGTTCGCGAATGACATCCCATGACTTGCATAATTCCTGTTGCTATTTCTAAAACATTTCTTCCCTCTCTTTTTCAGTTCATTGTCTACGGGACTTACTACGTCGTCATTTCTCTTCTGTTTCTTGGTCGGGGAGTGTACACGATGAGCCGTTACAAATGCAGATCAAGAAATGATTCATCTCAGGATGTGCCAGGAGACAGTGTAGTTATCTCTTCTTATAAATTTTAATAAGGAGCATACTAGACTCAGTTCTGATTTGTTTCAATTCTTTTGTACGTGAAGAGCTGTAGAAACAGATCATTCATTACCGGATTTGTGGAAGCTGAATTTTTAGTCTGTGGAAAATGTTTTTTCTTATCGTGTTATTTAGAACAGTTTTTTAAACGGATCTCTTCCTAATGCAAAAATAATGTAGGGGTATTGTAGCGCCCTTGTTGGGTGACGAGGAGGAGGCATGTAAATAGTCCCGTTCGCATTTGTGTAAACAGCAGTTTAGTGTTTACCTGTGTTATTGTCCCTTAATGTGTAACCACCCTGAAACTGCGTACGTGTCCCGTTTACCTCCCTGTACGTGTCACCCTGACTTTTTGTTTGTTGCCCATAGCTGACAGGCTTGATAAAGAGTGCCAAACTAGAGCGTTCTCTGGTTCTTTGTTTTGTGTGAACCCGAATTCTCTACAGTATATTCTCCATTGTTTTGAAGATACGATTTCATGACTTCGCACAACGTTGACATCAAAATGTTTTGCAAGAAATTATCTCTGGAAAGAAATGGTTATTAAATGTTTACATAAAAACAATTTATTCAAACAGTTTGAGAAGGCTCCCCAACCGAAACGTTGTCTCTTTTCTCCTTTTAGCATGGAATAAATCATTTCCTGTTTCAATTGAAGCAATTTACATGTTAAAAGCAAATGGCAACGATACAGGCCAAGTACTTAAAGACAAACGCAGTAGTCTTCATGATATGGAGAATACGAGATTTAAACTATAGGAGTACTGCACTATATTTGGTATGGTAGTATTGAGATAGTGAATCATGAATTTAGAAAAGGTAGATTTTGCTCGATTAACTTGTTAGACTTCGATTTTGCATGTAACAGCAGTAAAGTATTCACATATAATATTGTAACGCATACAGCCGACATTACACGTTGTGAGAGCCTGCTTACCAGCACGGTGACGTTACCACCCTTCCCTATGAATGGCAGGGACCTCAGCCGCCAGGCTGAGGAGAGATTTCCGTTTAACTCAACTGGCTGGGTCCCTGTTGAGTTCCTTACCAGCAGGTCCATTACCTGTCTGTGACGAGGTAACTCGCTCCTCTTGAAGAGCTGGAGATCGGGACTTTAGCCTTGCAATCGGGGAACTGCAACCCAGTTAGCGTCATGAGTCACCTGCTTCTAGAGATCGGAGAAGACCTGTGTTTTTGATCAATTAAGCAAGTAAGGTATCCAAATGAGGAAACCCTGATCACTGTGAGCTGAAACATACTAGGACTGATTCCAAATGGTTTCTAAATTATGTTTCAACAAATGGCCTGATTATTCCATGTCTTCTGAAATTAGAGATTTAATGATGACCTACAGTATATAAAACCTTCTCTCTTGAAGTGGCCTTGGACTAAGGTAGAGCAGTGTTGACCAATTCTGGTCCTGGAGTAATTGTGTACTTTTGGTTTTTCATTCAAATTTAGTTGCAGTTTTTCTGGGTCTCTTTATAGTGGCAGCACCTGAAAAGCTGGGATAAGCTGCTAAATTTGGTCAATTAGGCAATAATGGGCTGATTTAGTTAATTTAGTGCTGAGCTGGAATGAAACCCTGCAGACTTATTGACCCCCTAAAACTAGGGTTAGGAAACATTCTCCTAGATCTTGTGTCAGTATAAACCGATTATACTGTAACATTATACTGTACTGTAACTACGATTGTGTTGTGTGTATTTGTTGTAATGAGTTATGCATGTGCAAGACATGTGATGTGTAATGTATTCTGATGTACAGAAATGCTGTGTGTCCTAAAGAAATCCCCTAGGGAGACAATAAAGTTTGTCTATTCTCATCATCTATTTAGTAACCTGTTTATGCAATACAGATGTGTGGGAGCCAGAGCGTATTCCAGCAAGAAATAGTTTCAAGGTGGGGTACACTCTGGACAAGACGCCAGCCCATCAGAGGGCACGCTCAGACAGAGACATATACACACACACAGCAGGGCCAGTTTTCCCGGAAGACAATTAATCTACTAGTATGTTTTTGGACTGTGAGAGGAAAGCGGAGCACCCAGAGCAAATCCACGCTAACACAAGGAGAACATGCAACACAGGACATGAGGAGAACACAGATGGGCCCCCAGGTCCAGACCTGACCCCCGGACCCCAGCAATGCTAACCACAGCATCTACTGTGCTGCCAGAGTTTTTAATATGGTGCCTTGTGCTCATAATTGCACGAAACAAAACCCAGGCATTAAGTCATTGTTGTGACCCGACTAGTCAATTAAACCATTAGCCCGATATACAGTTGATTACTCAATACATTCAATTCATTAAAAGCATTAATTAGAACAATTACAGTTGTGCAGTTAATAGAATATCTAAGCCAGTCTGTGTACCCAAGAGGCCAGGTGTAACAAGAACCTCTTAATTCATAGGAAAACTTTATAATCCTTCAGGTGTTAAACACCTGCTAATCTCCAGTGCTCCTTGTAAGTACCCTTTGGTACCCTAAGTCACACAGATCCTCCCCATATAAAATAGCACAGACAAGGGGTGAATGCTCAAACTGGGGTGATGTAAGTAGAGGGGTAGTAATATCTGTATTAGGACCACTGTTCTTTTTACTTTAAGCCAACCAACAATTTATAGATATTTTTATAGTTAGTAAATTAGTTTAGTTTGTACATGGTCCTCAAAGAGGTTTGGTAAAACAACATAGAAGCAGCAAAAGATATTCAGAGTAGAAATGTTATTAGTTTTCAATAAAGAAGTGTATGAGATGAAGTGATACACGTATTACAATCCCCAAAGTAACCGGGATAGCTTCAAGATCTGCAGTGAAGCCAGAGGCAGGTGTATTTAAGGCTAAAACCAAGGCAGTTTTAAACAAAGGGTTGTACAACTCTTAAAAGAATACGCAGCCACATAATTGAAGCAGATACATCTACCTCCTTTAATGATCCAAACCAGTCCTACAGTTTGGAAAGTTTGTTTTACAAGATGCTTTAAATTTCCTGCGTTGGGCTTCGATTCGCTGTTTGTATGCAAGAGGCTTCCGTAGGTCGAACTCTATTTCAAGTACAATAATAATCTTTGCTTGGGTTTGCTGGCAGGTCACCTTGTGTTTAATGCATGTTAAAGTGCTGTCTTTCGCATAGTCGATGTTAATCTAGTCGCATTTCGCAATGAGTTGATGACGTACGATTCTTACGGTTTCTTAAGGACAGATTTATTTTTCTCCGAAATTTGTGTTGTAGCGTTATATAGGAGTGTACATATTGTTAAAGAAAGTGTTATTTCTTTCTGTATCCCAACTATATATATTAGGCTATTTACTCATTTTGTACTTCTGTCTTTGTGCTTGAAGATGCCATAGATGCACTATGAAATACTGTGTAGCCTAATCTGCCGGTGTCACCGGTCTTTGATTCTGTTGTTCTTTCGCAATTACGGTGGAAAGGGGCTGAAATTTCTAAATACATTACGACCCGACTTCATTAAACTCGCCGAGACAAAGGACATTATTCTCATCTCTGTGAAATGTAAAAAAAAAAACAACGAAACACTAATTTGCTATAACGATTTTTTTGTCGGGTCACTGTGAACGGACATGTAATTTCATGTTTTTTCAGGACCTAGGTTAGCCATTGTGTTGAGGCTCTCGGCATATGCACAGCAGAACTGTGGTGTTTCTGACAGGTCTTCATTCACACACGGCATATCCCTGGAGAGGAAGACAGTCACTCTTTGCCTGTGCTTCAAGTGACCGGGCTGTCTCTTTGGAGCAGGTTAAGAGGCTGTGTCGGTCCCAGACGGCGCAATGGCGGACTCCATAGCAGCTTTCCAAACCCGGCTCGCCTCTGTTATGGAGGTTTTACTTAATGCAGCTGTGAGTGAAATAACGGACCTTGTCGAGTGCAGTTTTTCTGCTTTCCGGGTTGAAATAGCCCACTACAAGAAAGAAAACCAAGCTCTGAAGCTGAGGCTGCTTTTCTCGGGATGCGAGTCCGGAGCGGACCGAGGGGACCGGGTGAGCCCTGCCGGACATGCAGCGCGATCTGCGAGCCGGGGTCGTGTCGGAGTCCGGGTGTGCGAAGACAGCGCACTGGGAGAGACAGGTGCCGGTCAGTTAACCGTTTACATCTTACGGCTACAGCTCTCCCCATCCATTAATTAACTGAATAAAAATCATTAGGATTATATTAATTTATGTTTGCCATTCATGTAGTTTAATAGATAGCTGCGTCAGCATGCGTAGGCTGCAAAGGAACAAGTAAAAGTTTATCCCATGCTGAAAAGAGAAGAAACAACGTTTCAGCTGTGTAGCCACTCACACCTGAAGAAGGCTCCACAGACGAAACGTTTTACTTGTTCCCTTGCCATTTATGTAGTCATCCGTACTAATAAAAGGTGGTTAATGTCATTACGAAATATACTCAAATAAACGTTTCCCTCCCCTAACTCTCACAGAAAAAAATACATACTGAGCATTGCTCGACCTGTTAATATGCATGAATTGACATTAATAACCTGAGAAGATGTAAAAAAAGATTGCCTATTTTTCACTAATAGCAGACTTATTTAAGGGAAAAGGTTGCTATACAAAATATTTATCAAGGAAGAAATTGAAACATGCCTCAGGCTGAAGGAAACAAAGCTCTTCATGAAATGTTATTGGCACAGAATTGTCAACAGCATTACAGGTATTAAGACAAACCTTCAGTGCCAGATGGTGGCCTACCAATTGTAGGTAAAGAAACAAGATTTTATTTTCTGTCCTGGGGCATACCCACATACTGTAGGTAACATCTAAGAACAGATACCACACAGCCATCAGGAAAAAATAATTGCTCCTACATATAATATGAGAGGGAAATAAACCAGAACCTAACAAATACCTAGCTAAATCCTTCCCAGTTTCCCCTAAACCCTTCTCTATAAAATCTGGGCAGCTAAGCTAAAAACAGTTAATTTTAAAAATCTGACTTTTTCCAAAACTCAGAACCCCCTGCCCCCTCCAAATAAACATCACAACAAACTGTCCAGGAAGCCATCTGTTGGTCACTTTCTCATTGCTCCCACTCCCAGAACAACCCTGGAAGATTTCAATTCCTGGTTTTAATATCAGCTGACCAGTGGGGCAGGGGATGGAGGATGGATGGTCATAGCTTTCTGAAATGTAGTTCAGATTAGAACAGCCATCTTGACTAAACCTACTGTACTTCCCTCTAACAAGGCCATTAATGAAACTCTCGCAACAGTCGCTCAAGACAGGGTTAATACCCACTGAATGGAAAATTGCTAATGTAGCTCCTGTCTGTAACATAGTATGACAAAACAAATCCAAGACTTTTTCAACCAAAAAGTATTTTTCTTTCTTTCTCAACGTCTTTTACTGTTGAAAAAATAAATTAAAGGATCATTTATATGGAAACTGGATTTTAGGGGATAGTCATTGGTTTAGAAAACATAGGCCTTGTCTGACTAACATGTTAGTTCTTTAAATAAGTGGCAGCAGTTATGAAAAAAGTTATGCAAACAGAGCATATGATGTCATATTTAGACTTTTATATGTTCTCATCTTTATCAAATATCTTTATCAAAGTTCGTCATAGAAATAATTCTGACATTTCATGTCTTAGGCATTAAGGAACATGTATATATTTGGATTGAGAACTGCCTATTGGATAGATAACAGAGGGTGCATTTAACTGAATGCTCCAATTAGGGTGATATTAATAGAGGTGTACAACAGGGGCCTATAGTAGGACCTCTGCTCTTTTTAATCTATTATAACGATGTACAGTAGATTCCAATGTAGTTGGTAAACCAGTTAAGTCCCCACAGTACTTGACTCTAACATAGTTCTTTTCTTTCCCTCCTGCAGGTCGGCAGGCACAGCACTGCAGACCAAGGGACGCTGAGGAGCAGGCACCCGAGGAGTCTGCAGACCTTACAGAACTGCCTCCTGACAGCGTTCCGGAGGAGATGCTTGACCTGGAAGCAGTGATCATTAAAGAGGAGGTCAGCCGCATCCTAGGATCCTGCCGAGACTCTATTCCTGATCCACCCGACCCGGCAGTGGGGTTTGTCCGTGACAGAGGAGACTGGACAGAGCTGCAGCCTGCTCACAGTCCTGGGTTTTAGTTTGCAGTGCAGCGGGCAGTCAGAAAGGGAAACCGTCTGGAGGTAGAATCTGCAAAGGCCTCGAATAATTGTTTAGGGAAAGTCGTAGTCATACACGTGACAGTAAAAGATGTATGCAGTGATCCTGCCTGTGTCGTGGTGGTTTGGTAAATGTTAGGCCGTGATGCTCTGCTTCTTCATGGTAACTCCGTGTTTCTGTTTGGGGTGATAGGCCCCCAACACATTAGGGAGGCTTTGGAATTTTGTGTTCATCGGAGATCCATTCCCATGTTTGGCCTTTTGACTAATTATTTTATGGCTTCTGTGCAGCAATTGAATCGAATCTCTCATAATCCGTCATGAGCTGTGTTCTATAGCCCTCAAACACTGCAGGCTGAGGCTCACACTGCCACTGTGCCAGCTGTAGGGCACAGGTCATTACAAAGTCAGGCTGTCAGAAGGTAATAAAGTAATATGCACTTCTTGTTCCATGTCTGTCTTCCTTGTACCTCAGCATTTTAATATCTTATCTCAGTGTTAAAATCAGAAACAAATGCAAAGACTGAAATAATATAGTGTAATTTCTACTCGGCTCTCTGCCCTGGTCAGGACCTTTCCCTACTAAACACCACTGTATCATTAAATCTTCTGTTTTATTGTTTTGTTGTACCAGCAGATATAAAAAAGGCAACCAGAACTACTAGTTCCAATACTTGTTTGCTGCTTTTTTTAGTGCCTCTGAGTATATATTGTATCTATTTAAATTTGTTTTCTGCTACTGAATTTTTTTCTCCACTGAGCTTTTACTTGTAACTTGCACTTTACTTTTGCTTGTAAATATCATTTCAGAATTGCTCATCCTTCACCTGAAACTTTCAGAGGTGGATCATTTTTGAGGGGGATTTATGTCAGCATGCATGTTTGTCCATGCAAATTCTACAAGCATGTTCTGAAAGGAGGGTAGAGAAATTCTGCTGTAGATAAGTGATAAGTGATCTAGACACTAGCCAGAAACCTAAGCTGTAATGGGATTGGTATCAGCTCTCCATCGGCAATGTCAAAACACCTGGTGTGTCTACCGATGACTGAACTAATGGTGACTAGACAGAAGGGATATCCTTTCAGAGTAAACCCTTACTCCTCTCTTACAGTCTACAGCCACGGAGGAGCCCAGGCCTGATTCACTGCTCGTCAAAGAGGAGAGACCGGAGGAGGACTCAGCCCACAGTGACCTGTGGGCAGCACCGGGGAGGAGTAAGTGTAGGGAACACAACCCTTTCCAGAATCTGCTTGAAAAGTGACTTAAAGATGCACAGCAGTGCATCAAGCTGCAGATGTCCTCATGCACAGCTGGTAGTATCTTCATAAGGAAGCAGTTTGGCTTAACTCACAGAGCAGTGATCAATCCGAGCTGCTTTACCATCCTGTTTTGTGTAACTGGAGTAACTGTTACCATTGCTTTTGATATGTTTTGGGGGTATTACAAATTTTTATGATTTTGTTTTAGTAGTTGAAGCAGTAGAAAATTAAACGAAATGCATTTTAAAAACGGTCCTACTTCTATGTTCTTTGGGAGTTTTGATTTTATTCTGTTCAAGGTATTATTTCAGTTGATGTTTTTAAAGTATCACCTGAAATGAGGTGAAATCTTCTGAATAGAATTTGGATAAATAAAACATTTGTGTTTTTAAAAATAGAACACTAAAAGAAGGCATTTTCAGATGCTACCCAAATGTCCCATTGACACTTAGATTTTGCCACTGTGAAATTTTCTATTTGTATATGAAAAGCAAAACTGATTTTGTTTTAAGGTTTTTAACCTCCAGTAAAAAAAATTTGAGACTATTACTCTTAGTTAAAGCACAAGATCATAACCAATAGAAGAAAAGAAAAAAGCTGTATCGCCTCCAAATTGACACTATGCTTGTGTTGATACTATTTTAGACTGCTACAAGATACATTGGTCACACATTCTTTGTATGTTTTAAACTGTTACAAAGTTAAAGTAATTGTCTGCATCTTGTCTCTGAATGCTTCATGTATGAGTCATGGGCATATAGTGTTCAGAATTAGCCTGAATGAATAGATACGGGGAAGACCACAGCACAGCTCATCAGCACAGCTAATTGAAACCATGTTTGATTATTAAAAGGTGACAAACAGTGCTGTATATTGTAAGTTTATTTCTTATTCTGAGTAGATTTGCACAAAAACATGTGGAGATTTGCAACAATATTAAATATCATTTGCCACCAGCCATATCACCCTGCAACTCACAACTGGCAACCCACTGAAGCTCAGCAGGTGTGAGCCTGGTTAGTACCTGGATGAGAGACCTCCTGGGAAAAACTAAGGTTGCTGCTAGAAGAGGTGTTAGTGGGGCCAGCAGGGGGTGCTCACCCTGCAGATCATGTGGGTCCTACTGCCCCAGTATAGCGATGGGAACACTATACTGTAAATAGGCGCCGTCCTTCG